CAGTTATGAGTTTTTGAAAAAAACTTTTTCAGGAACAGCTCAGTTTAATAACGAATCAGCGCGAATCATTGCAAGTTCCAACTAAAACTCATACAATTCCTGAAAGTGTCTTGGAAGATATTCGTCGACTCAAGTTGGATGAAAACTGAGGATGACCATGATCATGATTATTATCAGATGCTACTTTAACATTTAATTTATCTAATATAATTTATTTCGTTATTTTTTTAAATTAATAGTGAAGTAATTATTAAGTAAACTGCACCAATAAATTCTAAGAAGCTTTTTAATTGCTGGAAAACTTTGCTTTAATCTGTTTTCACTTAGAATTCGCTTACCTTCACTGGCCATTTCTTATGAGATTTTCTCGATTATTTATCTTATTCGGGATGAGTTTGTCGAATTTTCGTTTCTTGTTTATTGATGAACCCGTACTATATGTACTTATTTTCTAATGTTGTTCTATAAAATACATCTGTCTTTTTCCAAAATTATTCATTTGCTAAATGCATGTTCGCATTCCACCATTTTTCAACTTTCTTCTCATTGCAAAATATTTGTGTTTTTGTGAATCTAAAGATTATCATCAAATAACTTATTTCAAGCAATTCATCTTAAATTGAAGAAATTATTTCTTCATCTTCCAATTTCGTTTTTATTACAACGAATCGAATACATGAGTACGCCATGTTGTCTCTTTTGGGCTTTACTCTGGTTTATCTTTATATATGCCGAATAAAAAGGATATTGGACTTCTCATTTTTAAGAGCTCTAATCATCGAGATACATGAAACCTCTCAAGAATTAATCAGACAGGAGAGGATAGGAGAGCATCAGTTGAACTTGAAAGACATATTTCTATGCAGTTAGTGTTAAGCTTAGTGTAGTGCCATATGCATTATTCTCATTTAAATTCCCACTTTAAACGAACAATTCTAATGAGGAAGAGAGAGCTGTCAAACTTGTATTTATTAGCTAACTATACAGATATTCTGCCCTTGAGTGTCGAGCTCGATTCTTTCAGGTCATGACAAATTCTATTGTAACTCAGCTAATTACTACTGTATGATATTAAATAGCTAATTGCTACTGTGTGATATGACTGAATGCTCTTTGCATACTGTGGAGGTTGGTAATTGGTAATTCATTAGTTGGTAATTGTTTTCTATTGAAAAAAATAAAAGAAATCTACGCCATTAAAATGGAAATCCTTCTCATTCGTATGAGCTTTTAATAATAAAATAGTTGATATGAGTGAGAGGGATATCCATTAGTTCTTCAACGTTCATTAGTTGGTGATTGCTTAAATGGTATGTAGTATATTCATGGGAATTATTGCCTTATCAGTGATCTTATATAAAGACAATAGAATGAAGGTGTTTATTTGATATATGATATGCTATTAGATTATTAAAGTAATGCTTGAGTTATTAATGAATTCTTTTCCTGATAGTTTCTACTGATAAGTTTACTCGTTTGTTCTGATTTACATTATTATCATATCAAATGGATAATAAAACTAAATTCTTTTTAATGAAATCCATGTTTCCTTTGTCTAAACATTTTCAATAATAAAATAAAAGTCAACGATGTAATTCATATTTCATAAAAGAGTAATTATCTTAGTTTTTTGATATTTTATGAAAAGTGATTTTGTAAAAAAACGTTGCAGAATTTTTTACAATCTTTATTTCATAGCAGTGGCATTGAGAAGTTCATTGGTCAACGTTTATATTTATTTTATTAATAAAAAACAAGTATGAATATTTACATTTACATTGGTTATAATATTTTTGGAGTTCCTTCGGATGCACGATTTTCCAGTTCACAATCAGGAAAAATATTTCTTGAAACCGCAAAAAATGCTATTGAAAAATATAATAACACGGTCATATGAATTTGAATAAAATAGATTAGAATAAAGTGGATAACAATTTTTTAAGAAATTCAAAATATTAATGATTTCATATAAAAAGCAAAATATATATCTCATTTCGAATGTGATTCAAAATCTTATAGCTTTGAGATTTCCATAACTTTATCCTAAACCTTTTATTAAAGATGAAAAATCGGGCAGTGAGTTTCTTCATCATATCAGGAATTAAAGCGATACATGAAATGCCGTAAATATAAAAGGATCACATTGTTTTTCCAGTTACAAGAAAGTATCTGAAATCGAAAAAAAGTCCGGTAGAAAATAATTAGAAAATTCGTTATGTTATTGTCTTTCTTCAATCTAATGATATAGAAAAAATTTTGATATTATCAATTATTCATGTTGTTGCGTACTTCCCTTCCTTTGTATAAAACCGTTGAAAAAAATGATTATCCTATCAAGAATACTATTATTTGTGTTGATATTATAACTTAATATTAATTGGCACAATGATTTTTGATTCCATGATTCCAAGTAATTTTGTAAAAGTTAAGTATGATTATGTTATTACCATTAAAGTAACATATGTACAATGGGAGTGGTAAGATAAGTTGCATTAAGCGCATAAATCTTATTGTTATGGTAATACAATATATCTTGGAAGATATACAATTGAAATAGATCTATAAAATTTATATAATCTTTATTTATAAAAGATTTACAGATAAAATATAAGCAACTTTAAGGGTGGATATCTTATATTTTGTAAGGTTATCTTATATTGAAAATAAGTAATGGCAGAGTTCTGACCTCTGTCATTTTTCTATTTCCTCATTTTTAGGAAATTGAAAACAATGATCAAAATGGGTCAGACGAAAAGGCAACGAAATATTATCGCATTATTTATTTCGAATATTTGACTTTTTATTTTAACAAACTGTAAATTTTCCATTTAAACGCGTTATTAGTTTGTAATTATGACAATGATGCAACGAATTTCTTATGGAAATGATAATAGGAAAAAAATTTTTTGCGAAAGATATGTGCTGATGAATGGATAGGTGATTGATTATTGATTCTTCATTCCTTTGAGATGATCAATTTTAGCGAGCTTATCGGTCAATGTGTTCTTTAAAGATAAAAATTTTAATGCTACTGAAAATTAATCAAAAAATTTATTACATAGACGGAATTACAAGCTATGTCGCAATTTGTCGTTCAATTTAAAGATAAGAAATTTCAATTCAAAGATAAGAAAAAAGCTATTGATTGATCTGTAGTGAAATGCTATAGTGTTAAGCTATCGCTCAACTGAATGGCAATGGTATGTGTGTCTATGTAAACATTTCCTGATAAGAAAATGAGAAAAGTATTTAAGGAAAGTTAAAGGAACTTCTTAGAAAATATTCCAATAAAACAATGTCTAAGGCATTCTCTTGAATGTGAGAGGCTCTTGAAGAGATGAAAAACAAAATATTTAAAATATTCTATTCGTTTGAATTCTTCACAATGCGATAAATTAGTTTGAAACATTTCGCGACAACTTATCAATTCTTTAAAAAATGTTTTAAAAAGAATGCTTTTTATTTGCCGAAAAGAAGCATTTCTTCCCCAATATATAAAAATTAGGCACAATAATAGAAGCAAAACAAATTAATTAGGAAGATCTCACAATTAGTCTGTTATATTAACCATTGTATTATATATAAGAGCTCTATCTTCCGCAAATAACGTTTTACTTCCACGGAGGGTTTTATATCTTCTGCTTCTAGTACTTCTGATTTTAATATAGGATATTCCTGATCAAAAACGAAATGAAAAACCAAGCAGTGCAATATTATATGAAATAAATAATTGGAATATAACAGTTATCTGCTGAGAAAAAGACCTTTACTTTCTTAGACTGAAATTTGGGCTTAGCGAAGAATTTTCCAACACTGTCACTTCTTTCTGCACAGAATTTGTGCATTGTTCAGAATCTTTTATGTGTATTCCACTAACACTTTCTCGTCATATGTTGTTATTTGTTTGTAATTTGCTGATATATTTTCAAGCAATGAAGTTCCATTTAATGCTCCCTTTTAATATTCAAGAGATCGTGAATTCTCCAAATTTCATTCAATAAGTTTTAGGGCCGAAGTTGATCACAAAATGTGATAGAACTGTGGCCTCAATATATTATTTTTTACTATTTAGAAAGAACCAGCATAGAATACGCTAAAGGACTAGCTATGACCAAAGAAACGGACAAAACACATCACAGATAAATGAGAAAAAAGCGAACACACGTATGCAAAACAATAAAAACATTTATAATTTTTTTTTCTTAATACGACGAAAACAAAATTCTCATGAAGAATGACGCCATAAGTCTTGAATTGCTTCTCATTAGAAAATTTTAAGAACGTTAGAAAAAATAACATAAAAAATATTAAGATATCGGAATTAAAATTTGATATAAAGCGTGCAAAGAAATTAAGCTGGAAAAAAAGAGTCACAACATATAAAAGTCACATAAAAGCTAGAAATATACATAATCGAAATAATAAATCATGCGGGTTGTTCGCCCGGTTCATAGTCTTATCCTCCAGCCCCTGCTCAACTGCATGTCGTACGAAAACATTATACGAACCCAAAAATCCATAATAAAAATATAAATAGAAACAATCAAAAAGAGATTTTTTTTTTTCAAATTCCAAAAAGTACTAAACTGATCTTTAAAAAGAGAATAAATATTAATAGCCATAGAAATAAAGGTAGCTATGAAATGTGAAATGCTTTTTTGAATGGTTTTTTGAATGAAATGCTTTTTAAATAGCTGTGAAATGCTTCCACAATATTTTCTTAGGAAAGGATATCAAGAAAGAAACACCTACATCCAAAATAGTTAAAAACTAAATCAAATTCATCACCATGTTCCTGTAACCTCAAAACTAAGTTATACTATATAGATTTCCTCATCTTCTAATATTATTAATGTTCACAACTGCGTAAAGGATTTGCTCTCGTAAAATATAAAGTAGCTTTTACAAGAGGAAAGAAAGCAATTACTATCATTAGCATAATATTTTGCTTCCTCTGAAGCTCTTAATAATTAGTTCTGAACCTGTTTTCAAAAATCAATTTATTGATTCAACAATTCCCATGCATCATCGTCCCAATCCTTGTTGGATGCTGCCTTCTTTCTGTTTATCGTAGTTTTGGTTATTGTAGTTGGGCTTTCTTGTACGCGAATAGTTTTATCGTCGTACAAAGAAAAATCGATTAATGGAGGCGTTTGCTAGAATGAAAGTCATTATGAAAAATCAACTAAAATATTAGTAAACTTCTATAATAATGGAAATACAGACCTCTCTTTTTGTCCTTGCTGATGTCTTACTGATAAATTGCTTTGGATTTGCTGCCGAGCTTAGCTGAATCGAACTGTCTATAAATATGCTTATTAAACCTTGAAATGCACATAATTCATGAGAAAAGATAACTTCTAGAGTTTGAATATCATTAATTTTGTGCCACATTTATAAAATAAAAAAAATTAAATTGTGATTTACTTTGTTTCATTCGTGTGCTTATTGTTTCATTCTGAGATATTATTGTATTTTATTTTTAAGTGAAGAAAGTTTTGTGAAATTGATATGTGTAATTTGACACTAACATTGAGTTGACAAGACGATAGATATTTTAAATAAAAAAGGAAAAACTAAAAATCAACCAACCGTGATCGAAATCAGATATGATTGAAGATTTTGGAGGATTACATTCAACTGAATTATTTCTAAAATGCTACAAATATATTTTGATCATTATGAAATGCACGCATAAATAAGATGCCATCATAACTGCGAACTTTGTTACAAAATAAAAAATACCCACCTGCATGTCTGGTAATTGCTTGCGTGTTGCTCAAACAGTCGACTGTCTTGGTTGTCTGGTGTAGCTAAGTCTTGGTATTCACTAAATGAAATGATATGAATCCTACCGTAAAAAGACTAGTTGTGTGTTATTTAATGACTGCAAAATCTCACAATATTTCATCGACAGCAAAAGTTTTCTAGAAGCAAAAATTTCCATAAAGAAAAGTTTTCAGGAAAAATAATCAAACAATAAAAATTGATAACCTTTTTCCCAGCACAACAAAACCTTGCAGAGATGGACTTCTGATAAAATTTGATATTCCCGTCCATGATTTTGACCCTATTTCGGTAGCTTTCTGTGCTAAACTTCCCAAAGCTGGTTTATTCAACAATGTTCCCTCTCGGACCTAAATTTCGATGACCTTAAATAGAAAAATTTCGCTCACACTTGAATTACACTAATAATTCGTTGTGTGGCAGTCGCTAGTTCTCCAAGACCATAAAAAATTCAATGAAGTTAGATGCATTAAATTCTGCACAAATTTTAATAAAAAAATAAGAATATAGGCTGTATCTTTTCACTAACGCTTCCACTCAATTCGGTAGCTTTTGCTGTTGCTTGTGAACTAATATCTTTGGCATACAAAGCAGCCGTTGTTGCTCCCTTACTTAACATATTCCAACCCTAAAAAATAGTCTGAAAAATTATATATGCATAACAACCAATAATATTTAATTCAAAATAAACTCCGCAAAAATTTTTAAGGAATTCTGTAGCGGTAATAAAATTGGATTGGATCGTACCATAGAAAGAGATGATAAAGCACCGGACAGCAATTCATTGGGTGGATCACCATTGTTCATCTGAACATTGCCGAAACCTTGATAGCGACTTCCACTAGAATTTTAATAAAAATTTGCATTAGAAAAATCATATGAAATATAAATAAGACATGATTAAACTTTTAAGATTAGAGAGAATTCACTGAAGAAAATACATCCTTAAATGCAGTAAGGTAGATCCATAACGAAAATCATTCAGGAAGAAAGAATAACTAGCAAGTAGTAAAGTTCCATAGGTGTTTAAGCTAGTAAGAGCTGTTTAAAACACGAGATGATTACAAATTATCATAATCAGAATGATATGAATCGTTTCCAATCTGAATCGTGTTGCCTCCATAATAAGAAGTTAAATTTTTCGAATTGCTGTTTCCATTGATCTGTGAATGTAGTGATGAAGTATTTGGAATATAATTTCTTGCTGGCGACGTTTCGACTGACCATTCGCGGTGTTCTGATTCTGTTAACACCTGAAAATAAAAAGATTAAAAATATCTCCTGCAGACACATTCCCTAGTGTTTGTTTCGGTCAATATGATAATTTCGCTAGAAATCCCACCTTATCTCTTAAAAGAGCAGCAGCTCTCGAATTATATCTTTCCTGAAGTGACCAGTTTGATCGGTAATCTGATTGACTTTTTAAAAATTCTAATGCTTTTGCGTTGCCTCCAACTTTCATCTTACTCAGCTCACTATCTTTCCATTTATCCATTGTCGTAGATCGTACAAAACTACAAAGATATTTTTATTTGTATTATTATGCAAAAAAATCATTTTAGGTTTCGAACTATGATATTTCGCTATCCACTAAAAAAGACAATCGTGATAAAAATTTATAATACATGGATACGCATAAGTAACACAAATAGAAAGAAGAGCAAACCTGACGTGTACACCTAAACCACGATGCAAACCAGAACAATCCAGACAAAGCCAAATTCCATACGTCACACTGGCCCATTGAGGATTACTAACGCCACATTCAAAGCAGATCTGATAAAATAATATATGTTAACTGTAGAAAAAATTGATCCAAAAGTGAATAAAAAAAGAGTTCATCTTTTACTCTTGAAAACTTTAAAAAATCTAACGTTATTTCCCGGAACAGCTCGAATGTCTTGAATGATACGTCGCGTTCGCGGACTAGCCATGGTATTGACTGGTTCTTAGTGCATGAGAGTATACTTAAGTATATAAAATGTTGACTAAATTTCTCTGCTTATTTTTTCGAATAGACTTTGTAGCGAGTAAACTTCTTTAGATGCTTGTTCAACGCTCGCTGCTTGCTAAAATGATAGCAGAATTAGATATATAGTACCTGCACCTATAGATCTTAGTCAATCCATTAAACTCTACTAGCTTTCAAGAGAAATATTTATCCCAAATTCTGTTCAAATTTCTCATAACTTCTCGACATACCAATGTGGCATGTCAGCAAAGTGACGGACACGGCTGCACAGTAACATTGAACAGATCTTTTGAAATAAGTTAAGATTACAGCAAAAACCAGCTCTGTTCGAAACCTTTGCCGGTTCACGTAATTAATTATTAAAAGTAGTAACCCTAATCCCTGTCAGAAACTAAAAATAACGATCAATGGTTCAATATTTTCTATAATGAACAGCTAAGCACTGAATCACAACATTTAGGAACATTGGAAAGGGTGACTGTTAAAACTGAGAAATATCTTTACAAAGAAAGACGTTGAAATTGATGGGTAATTGGCGAGACGAACGAATGACGTAGGCAGCGAGTCAGAACACACCCCTTCTTTCTTGTTTCACGTATGCACGTGACTCGGGATTGTAACGAACTCGTGCCTACGTCCAAGTATTACTGAAGTTCGCAAATGCCTGAAATTAAAACAATTAGCATAACCAAAAATCCTTTACCAGCTTACTCCTCCTCAAAGCACCTAAACTAACGAGGACCGCACACGAAATCTCTTCGATCGTAAATTAGTATGATTCCGCAAGTTGAGTATGAACCTAAGCGTAGGCAAAACACTCCGATCATCACTGATGTTCTTTTCATTCTGAAGTTTAGTCTTCTATTTCGAAGTGCAAAATCCTCTGTCTAAAAGGGCTTGAATGAATCATCGGTCTGGGTTGACCTCACTTCGCAATCCTTCTTATCGAAGATACTTCTAGTACGACATGAAAAATTAAAATTAGCATAGCAGTGTTATGCTTCACGAACTCTTTACTTTACACTCATTAGTATTTCATTCCTTTTTTTAAGAATCAGTGAGATTTCGTGTTGATAAGTTGCTATACTCATTTCCTTATATGAAGATGTAACCATATGTATAAAAATTTATCAAATCAAATACAGAGAGTGAATATTCAAATTTTTGATGAAAACGTGTAAATTTTTTTTTACTATAAAAATGATGGTTTGTATTTTATTAGTAATATGGTTTCTATTTTATTAGCTTGCTTGTATTGCGCTCGGTGGCATTACATTAATTGGAATTTGGTATGTCTTATAGTGCATCTGTCGGTTTCGTTATAGTTCTCTTCTATTCTCTATCATTACCAAGCAGTATATCTGTAAAAGGGGTAGAGGATTCCGACAGAGAAGAACAATGGCTGGCAGATAGAAATCTATTTCTGGATATTGACAATGCCCGTTCGGATACTATCGACAATATCACCGATGCTTTTCTTAGCATCACAGAGAGATTGGTAAAGGCTGGTCGTTTGATGATTGAAACTAAGCGTCGCATGGTGGTGTTTATCAATGAAGTTGGCGATATGAGTTATGATTCGAAATGGGCTATGTTGGGTTGGTTTGCTGCAATGTGTCTCTTTCCCATCATTACGGCAGCAATCGTAGCTATAATTATCGCTTTATTTTTCCAGAATGAGCTTACTAATTTGCAAATTTTTTTGCATACTCGTTGGGATGTGGGTGATATGCCTGATATTATTACCGAAAGTAAGGCAAAGCAACGTTTGGGTAATTTAGCCATGCAACGTTTGTATCTTAAAATGAGTCGACATCCGGAGAGATTATTGCCAAAACAGGCAAAACGTGATCCAGAAGCATTGACACATGAAAAGATCGAACTAACACAATTAAATGAAGCGAATCTTACTGGAACACATGTTCAGAGTCCCACAGGCAATTCATTACCAGCATGAATTATTAAGAATTTTGGACACAAGAACAAACATTTTAGTGTAATATAGGGAGGTTTCGGAGCGTTTGATGGATAATTGTAATGTAACAAATTATGCATAGTGAAGAAGTGCGTAATATAAAACTATGTTGTATATCTGGAACAATAACAAAGCGTTCTAAGGCAAATATGTTTTATTTTCACTAGCAACATTATTGACTTCTGAAGTGGATACTTTATTCAGTCGTATAAATGGTACAATTTCTTCAAACCAGAAATAATTACACGGCACAAGACTAAAAAGCGTGGCATTGATGTTAAATTATCCTGGACAAATCGCAACTTTATTCAAAATATAGCATAATAAATGAATTGCTTGCGAGTGGAATATCAGTTCGGATCCACAATAAGCCTAAGATTGCACATTATAAAATAACAAACATCGACAATCAAAAGGTTATCATAGGGCCATTTAACCTTAGTGAAACAACTGAAAAATGCAATGCCAAAAGTTTATTAGTTATTGAAGACTCCTGAATCAGTTCAACAGTATGTAAAAAACTGGAAAACACAAAAGTCATAATCTTATAAATACGCTTTGTAGATTCTTGCTAGAAAGTAGAGTCTCTCATTTGATTGATGTAATCATTTGCGGTATAGTAAAATAAGGGTTAGGGATGGATTACATAAATGATACTTCTATTACTTATGTCACTGTTCAACATTTTCTCGAAATAACGAAATAGAAAACAATAAAATTCAGTGCAGTTATAGTGTGCTTATGCTGCTAATGACATGTATACTTTAGAACAATGATTTTCTGATCTTGCATTATGAGAGGAAGAGAAAGATACATCCTCAAAGTGAAATTTAGCTAAGAAATATACTGAAAACACTCAACCTGTTTCAATATCACCAGGTAAGGATTTGATAAAAATAAAGGAATGTTTGAAAAAATAAATTTGTAAAATTAAAAAGAGAATTAAGTAATTAAAAATAACCCTCTAATTTATTTTTTTAGTTCCATACAATCAATTATTATAGTAGGTGTCATGCTAGCTGATACTGTGATGTACTAAGGATTCGATAAAAGAAACTGTAAGTCATGTAAGTGACAAACAGTAAGAAAAGTAGCCAGTTCTGCATTGCAAGTAATGTGGGATGAACAATTTTAGTAGAAATATATTTTATTTAGACTAATAAATTTCATATCCAACAGGGCATCAATGTCAAACTGTTAAATTAGAAACAATATTAAAACGAAAATTTAATAATATAAAGATTCGTTAAAGAGGTTGCCAAAGACAAGCTGTAGGAATTCTATTTTAATCAAAAAATATTTTCTAAGTTGAAAGAAAAAATATTAAAAAACCTTATTCTGTTGATAGCCAATAGGATTCCAAAAAGATCAATTAATTAATCAATTGGAACAATAAATAGATTTTGTTAATAAACTAAATGTTAAGAAATTGCAAAATTTATTAACTCAAAATGATAATAACTTTTGTGAAATTTTCTCCAAATATCATGACAAATTAAGAGAATTATTAGAGGATGTAAAATAAAATATAAACTTTCTGATATAAAGAAAAGCTTAAATGAAGCAGCGCAAAGAAAAGAATGAAAGTAAAAGGAGCTTGATAAATCTGTGGCAACTGGTTAGAAAATGCTTATCAGATGCTGATTCTATAAAAATTTATAATACTGCTACTATCTGTTTATATTGTTATTGTCTTTAGATTCTAAGGATTTTGCAACAGTCAATCCTTGAAAGAAGCTCTTCATCTAGTAGATTAAGTAGTAGTTCTGCTAATAGTGGAGTAGATTTATTTGATTTGTTTCTAAAAATCATGACTATAGGGTCGGACGTAGGGTAAAACATCTGATTTGAAAAAATAGATCTTCCGGATAAACCAGCAAAACAATCTTCCACGAATATGAATATTGAAAACGATGACATTTAACTGCATATATCTATGCAAGCAGTTACAGATGGTTGGTTATTCGACAACGTAACATCTAGATGGTTGGTTACTCGACAATGTAACATCTAGATGGTTGGTTACTCGACAATGTAACATCTAGATGGTTGGTTACTCGACAATGTAACATACTTTTTTCTTTCTCCTAACAAAAACTTTGGTTTAAAACATTGTATCTTAACGTATTTTAGTGTGTAAACATTTTAATTTATAAGTAATTTGAGTGGTATCTAAATAGTTTTCAAGGAAGCTCTGTCTATTTTATCTTGATGAATTAATTTAAGTGAAGTGCATTAGTAATAAGTTTGTGTCATTTAATCAACAATGTAGTTTTAGTTTACACAACTTTCTTAAACTTAGAGGAAACTAAAACTGTTTCTAAGGAACTGATAACGAGAAATTAATTGTATGTGTAAGTATGTTTCCTGAGGTAAGTTCTCTACATTTATGAGAAGGGAAAATTTACAATAGTTGTGAATCAGTGAAAAACTGTCCATTGTAGAAACTTAGCGACGTGTCTGAAAATCGAATTCACTTAAAGAAATTATTTTAAACATAAGAAACTGTTGACCTTATTTACTTGGAGGATAATCCATATTGCAAACTATTCTATATATAAAGCCTAAAATGAAAATCAGTGTGCCTAGAAAGTAATATCATCCATATTTCTCTCAGAGTAAATAAAACATTGATGTTCCTTAGGTATAAAAATATTTCTTGACGAAAATAACTATCTGCGTTTCCTCTGTACATCATAATGGCCTCTCGTATCCCATTATTTCACCAAATACAGCTTCAGCCTTTTTAAGTATGATAAATAGGAGATGTAAGCAAATTCCGAGTAATTTGATATTCGACAAACTTGTAAATAATTTAGCTAAAATAATTTAATCAATAAATAATCTAAATTCCGTCAAATAGAACCGAATATATATGGTACCTGTTACTTTAGGAACTCGCTCTGTCAGATAGTGCAAATCAATAGATCTTCTAGACATGTAATATCAGTTGATAGCATCTCATCATAAGCCAACCAACAACCAGATTTTCAGCGCCTGTCCAAGTCCTAATTTTTGCTCATTGAAATCCATCGTAACATAGTATCCCTGGACCTGAATGGTAGGTAAGCTTAGTGTTTTACAAATCCTTTAACATAGAAGAATTCCTTTAAAGCATCCTTCACCTTTTACTTTAAAGGCAATAAAAAGAAAACTTGAGCCGTTCTGCCAATCATAGGATCTTTATCAACAGCATATGATTCAGCGCTGCGCATCAGTTTATCATCAGGATGTCGCAATGATTCAATAAAAGATGAAGTGTTGGATCTGTCAAGTTTCAAATATGCTAATATTTTATCTCTAACCAAAAACAAATACATTATGAATATTGCTAACATTGAAAAGCATTCTAACTTCTATTTTAAAACCTACAAAATTTGCCCCAGTCTAATGGCAGCACTGCCCATTGCAATTGTGTTGTGGGAATTAAAAAACGGAGTTTTAATAAGAATAGTTTGCAGAAACGAATATAGTTGAAACCAAATTTTATTTTATTGTGGGAGAGGTTATAATTGATCAACGTTATTCAGTTATATCAGAAATAGTGAGGAAGTAGTCGTGGAAGAGCGGTGAATGCAAACTTACGATTACAGGACTACGAATTAAATTATATATTCTTTTCAAGTTGGGCGTACTTGGTGCTTGGTGAGTACTCTTTATAGTAAATAAACAATTGGTCATTTGATAGATGAAAGTAATAATGAATAAAGCAAAGATTACTCGATGGAAAAATTAATGGAAACACCCACTAATCTTTGATGACTCAGTGAACGGAAATCATTATTGGGTAATACCAGTACGTAGCTGGGTAAAATCACATGTTGGGTAAAATCCTCATCCATAAACAAATAAGTTTTCTGATCGGCTGGGTAGAACTAAATATGTAAACATAAATTTTTGGTTCGAACAAAGAAAATTTCAGCAGAAGTGGATTTAAAGATTCCGAATTTGCGATAGATACGGATATAACTTTGTTGAAGGTTATGAGGATACAAACTAAGCATTAAATTTACTGGCATATTATTCGGCAATTGTTTCATTGGCAAGTTTGTACAAGTTGCAGAATGTGCTGCGATAATCACATGCCGAGCTGGAAATTTATGAACTTAAGCAGTATCAAATCACCCCAATACGTCTCATATTCAGAGGTAAATCAAATTCAGACAAAAAAGTACAAAACTTGAGAAATCAGAAAACCAAAATTGGCTGTATATAAGATAGTCAAGTTAATTATGAATTGAAATGGCTTCAAGTACTATGGATAATTTCAAAAGAAATTCACAATTTCAGTATCATCAATATAGCATCCAGTTTAGAACTGTCCTTGATTTGTACGGACTCCTACTACTCCTTGTTTTTTGTCAGCAATTATTTCTTTAACAAAGCACTGTTCAAATATTCGCATTGTTGAAGCCCACATTTTACAAAACTCATTTCTACAGAATAAAATTTTAATGAATATTTGGCCATATACTGCTTTAGAAGATCTTGCCAATGCATGGAGTTGTTACCAGCTAGCATTTAAGTTTTGCATTACTCAGACCAACACTTCAGATACTATGCGTTTTCAAATCATATTATTATTAAAAAATAATATATAATTAAAAAAGCAACGTTGCTTTGTGACACTAAAAATCTTACCTATCACGCTCAATGTCACGCGGGATATGTCAAGTGTCATCAGTATGCATGAGATAGATGTCAATTCATTATCTCTAAAAGAGGTTTATAGGTGATCACTTTAAGCCAATTTAGTACAATATGATAATGATTATCTCAACAGATCAAATGACAAGATCTAAATCTCAGATGATTGGCATGCTAAATTTCGTGCATTATATTAATTCCGTTTTTATGACTAAATTGTAATATAAAAAAATGATAAGAATGATGGAAATCACAAAAAATTTTTTTTCTAAGAGTTTTGATTAAACATAAAAGCATTTCATATTTTATGTATTATTAGCATATGCTATGGATTTTTGATGGGAAAAGTGAAGTTTGTTCTTTTAAAACTTTAATAATTCAAACAAGCATTCACAAACAAAATAATGTTGAAAATTTTATGCAGAAAATTCAATCTTATTTACCATGAATGTTATTATTTGAATGAAATTAGTCATCTTATTCTATACTTTCTTTTTGTCGTAAAAACAGGCATTATTTTTTTTTGTCATACAATTGAAAGGTTGGTTGCTATGCATGGGAATATTTAGGATTGTTGGAGAAGAAGGATGCGATAATAATTCTCCTTTTGCGCCTTTATTATAAAATGAAGGAGGCCTACAAAATGTGGTACAAACATGATTATCATTAATGTCCTGCTCCTTTTCGTTCTTTTCAGGAACAGTAAATTGCTACTTTATTCAATTTATTGCTCATTCCTTGATGCTTTAATTCACGCAGAAGGCACCTTACATACAAACTACCAATTTTTACTCGATAAAAATTAATGTATTTATCATAAACAATAACAATATGAAGTCTTTGGCACTTCCATTATCAATATCTATCGTAGTCCTATTGACAATTAACCTTATGTCATATAAATTTGTACGAGTAATAACTTTGGTAATTCATCGAAGGTCAAAGTGGAAATATGAAGGTAATATGTCAAATAGTAACCTGAAGAAAGAACTCGGAATCATTGCAATTTCATTGAAATCATCGTCTGGGACGAGTGAGGATGCTAAATTCGAGACAAATACTGAAGCAGTTAATACCGTCAATTGCTCTAATAACGTGGTATATTTTCCTTTCTTATTCAAAAAATCTAATACAGTAACTTAGAAAAAGAAATTATTCATAGGCTTTAATTAAGATCAAGTTTTAGAATTTACTAAAATTGCTTTAACATTTTTGCACTTCATGTTGATCATAATGATCATTATAGAAATCATGGAAAATCTTTTACAGGAACTATATAATCGATATGCTTACAAATGAAAAATAGTTGATGGAAAATTTTGCGCCGAGAAATGTCCTAATTTATTGCTTCTTATTGCTGCGATTACAACAGCGGAACAACGAGAAATCGAAATCTGATTCGGAAAACATGGGGTGATGTTAAGTTATACAAAAATATTAGTAATGGTCTCGTTAACTTACATTAGGAAAATTTTCACGACAGATTTAATGGGATGTATTTGATTGGCTTCTCTTCATAGGTATATGAAATGAAGAGAGTAGCTTGTATACTTTTTTATATATGGAAGACACAATTGATAAAACCTTCATGAACTTAAAGCCACTCATATGTACTGAATTCCTCGTGAAATGGAGCAAATTTCCATTGTTGAAATTCATGTAAGCAAATAAGATTGTCCCTGAAAAGAAATTGATTAATTAAGAAATTTAAGGGTTAATGATGTGGTTAGATTTCTCAGTAATGATTCCATTTGAAAAAAAAAATTGCTGATTCAGTTCAAAACAGCAGTATTATTTCCACTCGGCAGTATTGAGTATTGATTTCGATATGATGAATTTGATTCAGAAAGAGCAGAGAAAATATGGCGATATTATACAACTAGAATTTTTGGATACTTATGAGAATCTCACTCTCAAGTTTTGCATTTTTGCATGAATTATTGATTGATTTTATACACGTTACATGATAATCTCTTCTTACGTGACAACATGTTTCATTAAAAATTAGAAAAATCATTAATGGAATTTTGGATTCAGAATTAATCAGAGTTTTCTTTTTGCAATTATTATCAACAATTTTACTCAGTTTTCTCTTTACAGATATTAATGTTGCTTCAATTTCTTCATGACTTTTGTCCAAATGTCAAATATGTCCTAAAAATTGATGCTGGCATTTACTTTCAACTATTTCAAACTTGTGAAGATACTTCAAAATCGGACTGAAAGTGGTACCAATCATTCCTTTGTATCAAAATCATTTTCCTGCTACATAACAAACAATGCTAGAGTGAACAGACATGATACCAAATGGTTAGCATAAATTAAAGTAAAAATACTGCCGCTTTACGTATTATTCCCCATTGACCGATGCAAATGTTACCGTATCCCAAATTGTCCCCAAATGACATTTCTCGAATATATTTAAAGACTTCTCGTCTTATCCATTTTTCATCACTTTGCTGCATTACCTTAATCACGTGCGAGTTCAAGCTTGCAATCATTTAGGCTTGTATCGTACAAAGAATATCCCAAGAAGTATTATCCGCGGTACTGCATCGGATTTTTTTATTTACTTACAAGAGATCTTGTCGGATTATTGTTCGAGCAGGCTCGCTTCTGCACATTATTTTGGGTTTGCTTTACGATATTTTGAAGAATAAAATAAGTGCTCTGCCATCGGTTGATGAAACACTTTTCTGTGACTTCTTTGAACATACTATTTTTTCAGCTTTTTCCGGAAATGCAAGAAATGGAATAAATTCTTCTGGAAGCAATGAGTTTTAAATAGAAGATGTTCACGTCACGGGACATCTTGGAATGCGAGTGGAAGCACGTTACGAGGAATGGAATGAAAAAATCTTTTTTAAATGGAATCAGTTAAAACAACTGATTAAAGCAGCAAACATCCTGTTTGCATTAATTTATACTCCGTGGGAATATATTCAATTGTGGAAATGGCTGAAAAATTATTATGGATACGATAATAAATATGAAAAAATTTGAAAGTATTTCTCACTTTTATACTATCATTATAATGATACAATTAAAGTAATGGTTTATTGTTACGTGAGATATATCGGCAAATTTACCAGAATTATCCATCACACATTTCCAGATAATATTTGCTTCATCTTCTGCTCACGCGCTTTAATATAATCATACTTGAATCTCCTAACCCCAGTTGGATGAAATGCTTCATTTAATGAACCATTACTTGATCTGTTTAGCATTTAACATAAAGTAATGTCGTTTTAACTTTTTTAGAATCTTGAAATGTGCACTTGAACACTATGATCGAACCATTGTGGATTTTTTGGAAAGCATGCATCTTGTAGTTATCAAAAGATCGCCACTGTCTGTGCTAGTAAAACGACTAAAAGGAATTATAAATTTAAAACTAAGCAGTTCGAATGAGAGGACAACAAATTATGAAATAATTCAATATTTCAACTTCATATTTATCTGATGATGGTAACGACTTAGCAAATTTTTCAGGAAATTTAAAAAAAGAATAAAGAGTTTATATTAATTAAATTTCAAGAAGTCATACGGCACTTACATGGATGCTTTCCTTATTAATGAGACGCGTTTATAATTTTTCAAATATTATCTACTGATCCATAAGATTTACGGTTGCGATGTCATTATTGCTGGATATGTACTACTCGAGATAGTTAATTATTAAATAAAAATATACAAGTCTTTATCAGCTCCTTAGATAAATAATAATAAATTGGATTTTCATTTAAATGATTATGAATTGAGGAGTTGCTTGAAAAACCGCTTCATAATATCAACCATACTTCTTTAATATTACTGCACAGTAAGTGTAAACGTCGGAAAACCGTATTATATAAATTTTTGGAATGAATGTTAAGCAGATTCTCTTAATTAATTGCCCATTTTTGTCTTTTCATCAACTCACCGCAACACTTTATGTTTGTCTTTATTTCTGTTCTTTTTAAATAAACCGATACTCATTTTGTCCTACTAACAAATCTGCTGATCTATCTAACAAAAAAATCTAAAAAGCTGACATGGACATTTAACACAACAATTCCTAAAATCTTCGACCTAAAATGAATAGAATAAGGATATTTGTAAAATCCATAAAAAACAAAGAGGAAAGAAGAAGCTGAAGAGACAGATGTTTCTGATTATTTAACAAACGAGTGAACTGAAAAGTGTAACTATATCCTCCAGTGCTTCTATTAATTTTATTTCACACTCATATCTGTGTTGCTATGCTTATTTGCCTCATCTGATTGACGGGAAATGCTGGCATAACGCAATAGGATTAAGCGATATACTGACACTTACCTCGCGAAGTATTTAATGGCTACCAATGTTTTATGACCCTCTGATTTCATGTTACAAATGGTTAATCAGGATTAACAGGATTACTCGAAATGAGATAATACAAAAATCCTAAGTATCATCTTTATAGTGATCATAAGTCATTAAAAATAATGTAAATGTTTTCTGAACATCGATATAATTTCTTTGATACAAAAAAATCAAATTTAAAATAAATAATCAAATCTAAAATTAAAAAAGCATCAAACAATATATGGATAACAAAAAATTTAAGGGAAAACTGTGTTCAGGTAGTGAAACTGGAAAACAGTAGTTAATAAGTCACCAATTGACACCCTCCACGAAAAACTTTCGAAAATAGCACGGTACAAAAACTTTTCTCTGTCATCACCATCCTTTTTCTTCTTTTTCTACCTCTGTCCTCTTATTTCAATATAATCATTTCAACATCATGTTTGGAAACTTGTCACTATATTTTCAATTTTCTAAAACAGCAGTATATTGATATTTAAAGTGCAGAAACCAGCGGTGATCTTCAAATAGATATCGCATTAAAAAAAATTTCAAAATGTTTCGATTATCGGCCGAAGGGTTTGCTGGCGCTTCCACCGAATAATGTGCCACTAACTGATGAGTTCAATGTATTTCCAAAAGTAAAAGATGATGTCGTTGTTGGTGCAGATGCTGGTTCTGCTATCGATGTCGCTATGGTGCCTGAAAACAATATGGGAATTTGTACTACTATTTGGCAATGTCAACATTATCCTGAGAAGAAAAATAAAATTAACTCACTAAAAAAGGTACAAAAAAATAGTAGAGCAAAGAATGAAGAAGCAATAAATTTACTATTAGATCACTGCTGACAACGTTTGGCGCTTCTGCTGGCTACGTCTGTGCTCACCAAGCTCTTTTCTTGATTCCCTTTTTTTCTTAATATTTCGAATTTAGAGAAAGAACTATGGGCACCAAAAAATGACCCTTTCATACCTACCATTATTCCTGGCTAACTTTATATAAATCAAAATAGACCAAGAGTTAAGCACTAGAAATATAATGCCATACCGAAAAGAGGAGCCGGTGCTGAACTAGTAGTGGAGAAAGGTTTGAATAACGGTGCTGCAGTGTTTGCGACTGATGGATTGAAAGAAAAGGCAGAACTACCGAAAGTTTTCGGACCAAATAATGAACCCGATGTGCCAAATCCGCTTACTCCTGCTATAAAATCAAAATTTTCAATTTGCTATAATCTAAGTTAAGATTCTAAAGAACCATTAAAAAAGAAATCAAGCAATATGAAATAGATGACAAAAAAAATCAACTTGTTTGTTGTATTGTTGAAGAAGGTTTCGCCATTTCACCAATTTTCATCATTGTTATTTGTGAAGGAAAAGCATCTGCGCCTTCAAATAATAAAATATTTAAATTCACCATATACAGTTTAATCGGAAATTTTCTTGAAAAATCTAATTCTTGTAGAATCCTTATAGATTCTGATCCTTATAGAATCACAAACCCTTTCCGAAATAATACAATGAAAAGTGCAAAAACAGAACGCAACAGTGCTGTTGTGGCCAGCTATAAGAGAACTCACAGAATCTCCTAACGTTTTAAATTTTCATAATACAAAATTAAAGTTTAAAAATTTTTTCACCCGTAAATCTCTTTTCCGCATTTGGCTTCTCAGCATGCTTCGATTTTTGCCTTTCAAATGGATTCGGTGCATATGGATTAGTACGCTTTTGATATTCCAAAAATGCATCCTTAAGATCCTGCAAAAAAGTGCAAATGACATCGATAAAAAGCAAATATAAATTTTGAAGAAAAAAGTATCAATACTAAGTGTCAATAAATATTCGTATGAATGAAATAATGGTAGAAATGTACTTAAAACATAAACATACTTCAATTTGCATTTTATATCGATATACATCAGAACAAATAACTTTGAATGTTTGATCGTAATGTTCGAAATGTTTCCGCAGGTCCTGCTTTGTGGTTACATCTTTCTAAAGAAATTTTAATGTTTCTAACAACAAAATAAAGACTGACGAAATCAGCACTTACGAATAATGAATTCCAGAATAAGTACATATTACAGCTATTTTTTCACGCTAAGGCTGCTATTTAAAAAAATCATAGAGCAGAAGACAACTTTAAAAAAATTCTAAGTTTTTACACATTTAGCGATAAGTATAGTTCAACAGGAAAATTAAAAACCAAAAACAAAAAACATACAAAAACTACTAAAATAAAAATTATAACTAAGTTGAAAAATCAAGTGAAAAAAATTTACATAAAACACACTACACTAAAAAACAAAACAAAGTTTTTAAAATAACAAATGAAAATATAACTTGGCTATAACGAAAAAACATATAATAAAAATATGTTATATCAATATCAAGCGATGATTCTGTTATAATGAACATTTCTAACTCGATTCTAATGTGCACCCACGATTTTAATTTCAGAACTATATTGGAATCAGAAGACCTTATTAACTTGGCTATTAATTAAGTTAGGTAACGGAGGCAATTTTTTAATCAACAAAATTTTTTTTATTTCATATATATCCTTCAAAACAAAGAAATGTCAAAAATTAAAAAAAAATTCAGATCACATATCCCTCCCTAATAAAGGTGAGAATTTTCATAGTAATTGCAGCTTGAAGTAGCACCAACCTTACTTAACTTTGCATCAATTTTCTCGTGCAGTAATTGCAATGTTTCCCAAAATTCTCGCACGGTATTTTCGTGCTCGTTACAAATTGCCAATAAATAAGAGAAAGCTTGTTTTCGGCCGAAGTGTGGGTTCTTCGAAATTTCTTTTTGTCGTCGACGTAACTGCTCTGCTGCCCGTAAGTCTCGCTGCATTTTCTCAAGTAATTCTAAAATTTTGTCAGCAATTAGAGTTGGTCGTCTAAACTGCTAACGTCTAAACTCTTCGTCAACAAATACGGCAAAACAAAGTTACTGAGTCAGCTCCAGTTAGATACAATTTTTGAATATTAAATCCTTCTGTTTGTCAAGTTGAGTTGGAAAAATCTAGGTCTTGAATAAGGAACCTAAAGCACTGATGGATTCCTACAACTCCTAATGATACTATTTCAGTAAAGAAAAAATATATAAAAATTGGAATAAAAAATAATAAATGTATATATATATAAAAAATTGGAATAACTAGAACAATTTTAGTTAAGGAATACATATATAAGAACAGTTAAGTAAACAGTTACCCTCTGCTCTATTTTTTGCCTTACGTATAATGTCAGCGTTCTTCACACGTGTCCCAACCAATTCTTCTATCTTTTCATCCATATGCAAGCATGATTCCGAACTATTCATTGTAAATTCAACGCTTAATTCATGGTTTTTCTTAACTTGATCCCTGAAATATAGCAGTTACTGGTTGAAAATACCTTCGAAATCAAATAACGATGTAAGTTACCGTAATAGATTAAAGAGATCCATAACCACTTGTTGCACTTCAGTTTCCAATGGATTTCCAGAAGCAGCAGCTCCAGCAACCCCTAAGCTACTTGATACCAAACCTGTAGCCGCAAACGTATCCGTTCCACCTAATCCTATTCCAATTGTAGTCGTCGGTACTCCACTTCCACCAAAAAGTCCACCACCAGCTAAAGTTGTTGTAACAGTTGCCGGACTGTTGAACAAGCCTAAACCATTAAAATAATTAAAAAAGAAGCTTCACTTCTTTTCATGATTATTCATAATTTTAATTACATATAAAGTAGCATACACACCCGTTGCTGGTTTTCCAAAAACTCTTCCGGTAACGGTAGCAGCATGAGTGACACCAAATAAACCTGGTGTTGTTGTTACTGATGTACTTCCGAAAGGTCCACAAACCGCTGAAGTCGTAGCCACTCCAGCAGTACCTATCAAACCACCTGAAACAACAGCTCTGTAAGTCATGCAATTCTAATTAACCATTTTGATTTAATATATAACTTTCCTGTGGCGGTTGTAGTTTTTGCAGATGTTCCAAATAATCCACCAGAAGGAGATGCTGAACTAAATAACCCTGCAAAATATGATTATGAGTGAACACCATTTCAGCTACTTAAATGATCAAACTGTGCCAAATATCTTCAAACTTCACCTGTTGGCGTTGCAGAGGCTGTAGCTAGAGATGTAGGTGCTCCAAAAAGACCAGTACCTGGAAAAAATTATTGAACAAATAAAAAATATAAAATTGAGAATTCATAGGGAAATTTAGAATTTGAAATCTTATGAGAAGTCACTCCAAATCCATCTTGGACTGAGACTTTGAAATGAAGTCAAATCAGATTACAAGTATATACCTGCAGCTCGCGCTGTAGTTGTTGAAGTGCCAAACAATGGTTTGGACACTGTTCCAAACAAAGTACCCGTGAGAGGTGTTGCGGAAGCAGCAGTCCCCTGTGTGCCGAAAGTAAAGCCAGACATAATTTTTCTGAAATGAGCGATCAAACTTCGTAAACTCGAAGACGCACATAAATAAAAATAACCCTGTCTGAGATCGAAACTTTTAGCTTTGATACAACAAAAAATAATCTTCCAACAATTGTCTGAAAACTTCGACTTTCAAGTCAAGTAGTCTATCTCGATCCCTAATCTGCAAGCTCCTATCAGCTACATCCAATCTTTTCTATTCTAACATTTGTCAAACACAAGAAAAGGTCGCCATTCAGAGTAATGTTTACATCGCTACTAAGTTCTACTTAAAATTGGACACGGCCGAATATATCAGCTCATCATGATGATAACATGTTAAACATCTTCAGATGAACCAATTTCAATATTACTGATTAAGCACTTTACTAGAAAATTACGACACCCAACACTGTACTGTAATCGTCTTTATATTGAATATTTGCTAACACCAACAAAGTGAACGGTGAGAAACAAACGTTCATATCGTCCCCATAAAAGAACAAAAATACAGGCATGTAATCAAATAAAAAAAGATATAACATGCTGAAAAAGCAATAACAAACAACCTTCCAATTTTCATAAAAAAGTGAAAGTTAATGTTATATCGTTTATCTTCATTTTTTACAACGGTAGCTTCTTCTAAGTTCCTTAATCTTGATTAAAAATAAGAAAAACTAATTTAAAAAATTATAAAACTTAAACTGTATCATTCCTTATTAACCTGAGCTAGTGAACAATATGAATGGCATTACTTAGAAGGTTTTATCTGAAGATTTTATTGCATTATTACAGGGATAAAGAACTTGAAGTAATGCAACTTTTCGACTTTTTCCTTCAGATACTCTAATACTTTTTATGAATTTGTATAGCAAATACAGAACGCAAAACAGCAGTTTAAGCACGAACGATGAATAATACAGTACAACAATACTTAGCAACCTCTAACAAATATTCCCCTTCACGCCTGATTCTTTCATAATCCATTTTAAAGCTTTTCTTACAGTTTTCATTCAAACCTTCTTTGTTTCGTGCAACCTTCACAGCCAGAAAAATTATCTAAAAAATGTAGAAAATTAATTTCGAAATCTAAAATCAAGCCTGAGAAAAAGAAAATTAAGTTGACTATAAGCTGTTTACAATAATAGCATAACTGTCGTCAAACACAGTCATTAAGTTTTCTGAGAAAAATACTAAGAATATTTTCCTTGTAAATTATAGTTGATCTTAACTAATAGTTATTTTAGGTCCACATGTCTTATCGGTCCACATTAGACTTCCACTCATCTTGTCTTTTAATAACGAAATACTGCCATTCTTTACCAATTCCGCAGGTAACAACATAACCAGGTAAAATGTGGAACCTGATCCATTACCTTAGGAACAATAATTGTATTTGATTCGATATAGGCACCATCGACTCGTATCCTCATGATTGTAGCAATATTATAATCTTCTACTTCTTTAAAATACTCGCAAAATATAAACCATTGTTGATTATTTTCACCCTTTAATTCTATTTCTGTTACCTGAAACCGGTCTTATATTTTATATTTTATTGCTAGACAGAACATTAAAAATAATCTACAATAGCTGTTTCATTTCTTAAATGATCAGACCAAGGCTGACCTTCTCAACATTCATTTCCGGGAAGATCTCTCGAAATTTATCATAAATGACACTAAATTTTTTATGTATCGTTAATTCCTTGGTATTGCAAATGAGCAGCAGGCTCATATGAATATTCGCTCTTTCAGCAGCCTGTAATGGACCATATTTGAGAGTTTATAGAGCATTACCATTACCATCAGAAACAAAACCCATGAAGTTAGGAAAAAATATGTCCCCGGAATCTAACTATTCACGGAAGTAAATAATGCAAAAATGATACCTTAACAGCCCAAGCAATTTCGAACGAAGGATCATTATTATATTCTGCAACTTCATATGAAACGCTCTCCACTGCAACGAATGAAGACTTACCTGGTTTGGTCATTCTGCAAAACACCACTTTTCCGGATCTTCTCCTTTTACTACCACATTCTCAAAGATTTCTTTTTTACTGAGAACCACAAAATTCTCACCCCAAGCATGACTTCAATCGCATAACTTGCACTAATGCACTAATGTACTGCACTAATGTTCGTGCTCTCTACCACCATGATCTGCTTTATTCAACTTTAAACCATGCAACCAAAGGTGAGTCCTTGTTATCTTAGTAAAATTACAGTCTCCGTTACAGAACTATTTCCCATGAAAAGCATTAAGGATTGAAAATGCAGATACACCTTCTATTTCATAATGATAAGAATCCTACCCTTGAAAACAGTCATTAATTGCCAACATAGCGCTAGAGAATTTTACCTTGCTAGCGTTCTCTTCATGAAAATAATAAATATTCTACTTTTGTTACGATAAAGTTATTAGTGAAAAGACTTTATATGTTAAACAAACATTTTCGAAGCAACTTTATTGAATCAACAAAAAGACTGTTCAACACAAACAATACACATCAGCCTTTCTTTTGACTATCAAAGTATTCCTGAAGAAATGCGCGTGCAACATCATCTTGGCCATAGTCGCGCACGACTGCGCACGAACACCCTACTACCTGAAATATAAATCATCTACATGCTTAGAATGCAAGCAATCTTGTAAAGCCACAACAACAATTCCATCTAGCGATTAACAAATTGCCGCGACATTATATATTTCGCCAGATGCTTTAAGTAACCCAAAATACCACTGTCAAATATTAGAAAGCTGAAAATTATTCGAAACCAATGCTTGCGATGTGGTTAAACGCTTACAACCACAATTTTTCTATAGCAAAAAGAATTATCATAATTACAAGATCGCAAGACTTGGCTCATTTCTAATGAATTCAGAAATCTGGCACGGCTAAATTCCACGAAATTATTGCAGCCTGTCAACACATGCACAAACGTAAACCTTTCGAGCTTTCCCCTCTTTGTCGTATTTGCATAAACCAATCCATTCCCCCAGCTGTTTTTTGTCCTTAATTTTAACCAGTGGTATTTGATGCTCATTGCACAGTGCTTCCACTAGCTTGGTATACATTGGTTCGTCACAGTTCTCAGCCAGGACACAAAAATATGCCTGGCGCCTAAAGTTTTGAGTCAGTGGCATTTAGTTAAACTGATAAAATATTTAGCAGCCATATTAATTTACTATAGCTCAGGGTTAATTACTCAAATGGAAAGGACTTATTGCAAAGGCATCGGTAGTTCAAATCGTTTTAAAGTTATACTTATCGAGAGCTTTGGCGGCTTCATGAAGACCCTTAGCTACTCCATCCATGACGATTGCTGATTTCAGAGCTCTTCGCAGTGCAGTTTTCACATCCAACTTCTCATCAACTGTCACAGCTGCTTCGGTTGGTGGAACCTGCATTTGCGTCTCATCTCTGAAGTAAATAAAATGAAAAACACATTTAAATTGTTACAGTGGTAAAGTAACAAATAAGTTTTTCATAAATAACTCCAAACTCTCACGAACATTCCGAACTAAAACTATACAAATAAACTGTAAGCACAAACCTTCCTGCTTCCATGTCAAGCAGTTGTCCTCGATGAGTGAGTGACTGTGTTAACTCTCAAAGAAACCCTGAAACAACTATTCCAATTAATTGTGGAAACACATCCCCTTACCAAACCATTGCAGCTTAAACAACTACTACCACGCAACTCTCCCCAAAATTTGAAATGTTGGCATAATGCCAGCATCCGTTCAGTTTTACAGCGCATTATATTCTTCTTGGCAGAAATGTACGGCATTATGTTTTACTGTGTATGTTTCCGTTTGTATGTGAGTTTGTGAATGAGTGTGTCTGAGTGAGCGTATATGTGAATGCATATGAATGAGTGTGTGAGGTATGTGAGTGTGTATGTGTGCATGTGAGTGAATGCGTATATGATTGTGTATACGAGTGCATGTGTAAGTGTAAGTGGGTATGTATGTGGATGAGTGTGTATGTGAGTATGTATGTGTGTGTGTGTGTGTGTGTGTGTGTGTGTGTGCTTGCTTGTTTGTTTGTTGTGCTGCAATTTGACAGTAACAGTAATGTGTGCAGCAACATTGGAAGTAAAATTTAAAAAAATGACAACTTGCGGTATATATTGCTAGTCTCCCGCTTTAGATTTATAGCGAAACTTCAATAGAGGTGGTAATTAAGACGACGATTCACTTCCACAGCTGCCGGTAGTGGTACACGCTGGAATAACCAAATTATTAATATTAATATATTGAAATAATAAAGCAATGATGAAGTAAATAAAGAAATAAGAAAGTTAATTTTAAATTGTGGAAATTTGTGCTGTAAAGATTGTTTTTGAATGATCAGATTGTTATAAAATGTTAAACAGATTCTTTGTTATTCACTCAGTTCTCTTTGTTTCCAAAAAGACTATGAATAATGCGCTTAGTTTATTAACTGGTTGTGAAAGAACTATAAATAGTTCTTATTCATACACTTCGATTCAGTTTGAGAAGTGCTATCATCTCTATCTCCGATATACTATTAAAATAGTCTTAATCAAATTCCCATAACAAAATGGAATTATTGGACCGATTCTACTCGTGATATTTCATGATATTTGTTTTAGAATGTACATAACAAATAAATTTTTTCTTAACCACTGAAACCTTTATCGTAATTATTTGTCTGTGATAATCATAAAAAATTTTCCATGGCAAATCACTTTAGAGTCACGAGCTGGGAAATGTCTATCGCTATAATCAAAGGTGTGCAGTGCAATCGGCAAAAGAAAAAGTTGTTGGAAAAGCTTCTCAATGAAGTGAAAGAAATTGGTCTAACGCTGTTAGATCAAACGTTGATAAGAGAAGAATCACATCAACAATATGAGGCCTAGAAAAGAACTGTCTTCAAGAAAGTGATGCACTTTAAACTATACATCGCTTTAAACTATAACTCTCAAAGCTAACAATTGATTGAAATATATTCAATAAATCGTGGTCCAAACAAGAAAACAGAAAGAAGAATGAAGATACTTACAAATGATCTGTGACGATAAAGTATTTTAAAATAAATAAATGAAGGGGAAGAAGTCATTATAACTTTAACTGTGTATAAAGATGACTCTGAATTAATGCGCCTAAACCAAGATTACATGAAGGATAGACTAGCTTGCTAACAAGAATCATCTCAAAGCAAATGAGAGATACATCACCTAATTGTGAATTTGCCTTAATTACCACTGTCTACATTCAGTGGTATTCAAAACTATTGCGAAGATTTTGAAGTAGTTTTGATGCATCTGTAAAAAATTCCAGGTATTCAAATTATCTAACCGCATGTCTCGAAGGAGATGCGTTACGAAAACTATGATAATTACATGAAAGATCATTTATATTGAAATTCACGGAAGATTTCAAAAATAAAGAAAATGAGAAAAAAATTCATCACGAATGGTGGTAATCAAATTTTTAAAAAGGAAAATTTTGGATTTTTAGGTGGAAGTGGTTTTTTTAACAATAAGAAAAAATTATAATGATTGTGAACTGAGAAAGGTCCACTTGAATGAATGCTAATTAGACAAGTGCAACGAGAAGAAATGATTGAAACGGAAATAAAAATTAGCGGTGAAGAAAATTTCGAACAAGAATTCAATCAACGATGTTTGAGAAATCAATATAGAAAGTCGAACAAAAAATATCTGTACGGCGAATTTAAACAGAGAGATCAAATTGCTTGATAATATGTTGAAGTAATCAAAATATTTTTATACTGTAGAAATTTATGCTGCAAAAATTGTTTTTTAATGATCAGTTTGTCGTAAAATATTAAACAGATTTTCTTTTTTTGTTCACTTAGCTCCCTGTTTTCAAAACGGATATAAATAAAGCCCTTCAATTAAGGTTGCGAGTTACTACCGTCTATATCCCTGCTAAACTATAACCTCAAACAAATTTTTTCTATGATCAACAAAAAAGATCAGCCTAGTGACCGATTTATTATACTCACGACATCCTCTGATAACTGTTTTATAAAGTGCACAAACAAATACTTCATTAATCAATAATGTCTTCACAGAAATTTTCTGTGCCAGTCATCAAAAAACCTTCACTACAGTAGATATTCCATCGTCACGTGATCTCAATCCCTGCATTTTAATATATTTTTAAGATTTCAGAAGACACTTTATGTATCGGATTTTTGAAATTGTACAGACCTGAAGAAATAAGGTGGGATAGTTCCCTTCTAAATTTTATAAAAAATTTTGTAGAAACTACCTTATTTGTAGGGCAAATGAAGGGTGTAACATATAGTAGTTGACCTGGAGAAGAAATACTAATAAATCACAATTAGAACAATTCAATTTCAAGAATCTCTGTGAGATAGCAGAAACTATTATTTTCAGTTTAGTGGGTAGATCTTTAAAGCTTACGACTAGGTTGCATTTGAAGTTTTCTGAGACGTTCAAGAAATAGAAAAATCTCTCAACAACAGATCTACTTCAGCAATTAATACCGGATTTCTGAATTCGTAACTTTTCGAAACTTACCACTGTAAAGCAGAAAATCAAAGAAGGAATAATATTGAATTTACCGTGAAATGAAAAATTGATTTCAGTGTTAATTATCAAAATTTTTTTAGAAGCTATTACCGTACTTAATGTGATCTACATTGTTATGATCTCGTATGAGTCTTTATATAATCCTTTATAAAATTTTTTTTAGTTCCAGATATCATAGAATTGAAGACTTTTAAGATAAATTATTGATTGAAGTAATGAATTCATGCCAGTAGAAAATATAGTTTCAGAAAAAAGAATTTTGACAGTCACTCATTTTAGAATTGTTTTTTAGCTCCAAACAATATACTGTACTTGTCTGTGATTAAGACTTCTTGTACTATGTTAGTTTTCTTAATATACTGTTGTTTCACACTGTAAAGTATAGCAATAGGAATATTGTAATCCAGAATTATACAGCCTGAACTTTATTATGCGTGTTAAAAATGTCATGATGTTACTTGGATATTATGCTAATGACATAAATTTCGCTCGATGTTTCATTTAGCAAAATGGGGGAATAGCAGCAGTTAAAGCAGAATGAAATATATTTCCAGAAACTGGTGAACAGAGGACAGGTTGTTATTGTCTGACTTACAAATTTTTATCGCTGTTTAATTGAATATGAACCGAACGATATAATTTGATAACTAGGTCGCTAATTTTTGCGGATGATGCATGACTACTTCTAGTATGGAGTCTTGTCATCAAAACATGTTGCACCAAATGACTTCAGGTTCCGAGTAGTCGTTAACTTTTTTCTCTATCAGAAATGAAGAAAGCATAGGGGAAAGCATAGGAAAGCATAAGCGAATGCTGGTAAGCTGAGAGGTTTGTAAATGTTGAACTTATAATTATCTCATATAACGAATATTTCATATAATGAATAGGAATTAATGATCATTATTTTATGGGCCTTATCCGTTGCTCTGTTTAGTTTATATGGTAAAGCAGTTATTATTAGCCACGAACAACTGCAATGCAACTTTTATGTTTACTAAAGTTTAAATATATTTTGCCACCACTATTATCGCTGATATTCTCATACTCAGTCATTTTAAGAAGCTAAAAAATAACATCTGAAGAAATTTAAATAAATTGTTCCGTTAGCACGACATCTGAGTATAATCAGAAAACGCCAACATGCATAATTAATAAGCTTCAGGGTGCAAATGCTGTGACAAAAGAAACTGATAAGTAAAATGATGAGATTCTGATCAAACTGATAATGAAACTGCAGAAATTACTAACGAGTTTCGGATCAAAATTAGTCAATAATTTCTGTCTGCTATGGCTATTTATCCCTAACCATAAAATTGAATTCTGTGAACGTTTTGATAAGAGAACTGAACGTTAGGGATTCAATTTACAGAATGATTCATCAGAATATTGCATAAGTGTATTAAACAGAAATGTAACCATAGGTTTGTAAAGACGACAACAATACATAACCCAACCAAAGAACAAAAAGAATCGAAGCACTGAAAATTTTAGGTCCTACTGGACCTCCAAGTTCACCTTTGCCAAAAAATGCCAAAAATCGTCGAGCTATTAATAATAGTATGCAGATTGTACACGTAGCCATGAATATTGCAACACTGAAATTACTATGATCCAAAGAATATCAGTAAACTTAAATGTGATAAATGTTGTATCGATTGGAGATAATGTTCCAGAATAATGATCGTATTTCTGGAACAAAGAGAAATGGTCAATGTATAGCTGTTTAAGTTATGATAGTAAAGTTATACAAACCTGAAGCCCAAATCGGCAGCGTTGACTATAAATAGTTCATTCTTGGTGGACCAATATATGGCAGCAATAGTCCACGGTAATCCAAGTCCAACAAATACGTTTACCGCATTAGAACCAGTTATGTTACCGATAGCATTATCAGCTGTGTTATCCTGAATTTTTTTCAAATTTCAACAGAAATAATGTAGTGATATTTGAGCCAGAAAACTCTTTTTGTAAATCGATCGTTGGAATTCCTTTTCTTAATACTTAGAAAAGTTGCACTTCCTAAAAAAAATATAATGCGATTGGAGAATTTGTTCTAGCAGTATGAAGAATTTAGAGATACTTTGAAGATAAGTTACTAAAGATTTCGAATTAACAGACCAATTAAGTAAGCAACATGCAAATAGGGGAAAGACAACACACATTTTGAGCGGCAATTTTTGATGCAAATGTATCTGGTAGACTAGTACCCAATGCAACCAAAGTTATCGCTGTAACAGCATCTTTTAGACCGATCATGCAACCAAGTATACTTGTCAGGTCACCTAAATCCATTATTTTCAAATAGATTTTTTTAAAGAGAAACTTACAATTTCCCAAAAATTCGTCACTGTACAAATGTAACAAAAAAATGTTTCAAATTGCTAAATATTCAAGAATGCAGAGAACAGAATTGACCTATGACGGCAGTAATGAAACCAATCAAGACTAGCGCACAAAAGAAGGCCAACCATCCGCCCAGAGTTGTGGCTGGCGGAATTAAAGCTGCCATGACCTTCCATGGAAATGATAAAATGTGCAACACGCAATCCATCAATGTCGCATTTTCAATATCACCAGCATTGATACATGTCGCTTGGATAAGCTAAAAAATCATTTAATTGAAATACCAGAACAATTTAACTATATGAAATGCAACGGTTGAAGTTTTATGAAATATTTTGCTATCTGGTTATCGATTATTGTTGGGTATTGGAATATTAGTTATAAAAGAGTTTACTTGTTCGAGCCATGTATCAGATCCGTGCATCACTTGCTTAAAGTAATATGATGTTAGTTTTCGAACATTCATAATATTTTTCAGTACATTATCATCACAAATAATTGTGACCACAGCACGTTTATTGGGCCCAATTGTTACTCCTGAAAATTGCTGTTTTAAAAATTTCAAGAATGACATTTATACAATTGATGTATAAACTCTTCGAAAAAAATCAATGATTACTATCTTCTATCACTATTTAGATTTACCAGTATCAATGGTATTTACCTCCTGTAGAGGTGATGAGGTGTATATTGAATGTTTCATCTTTCTCTTCATTCATATCATCGTATATTCTCACGTCGATATACTTTTCATACTCATTACCCATAAATGTCAGTACTCCGTCATTAATCCCTTTATAATCTTCATCACATTTGGCTGTAACAGCTTCTGTTTCATAATATACGTTGAAAGTGCATTCATTACGCTGGCCAAGACAGGTAACAAAAGCTCGTACATATTTTTGATTTTCTTTCACAATCTGGAATAAAAATGTATAAGTGACCTCAATCACTATTTTCATATTCATCTGTTATAAGCAAAAACGCTCTCAAGTTTATGTTTTGTAACATCGTGTTAAAACATATTCCGAAGAAGTCTTACGTAATTGTTTTTGACAAACTGCACGATCGGTTTATCGACCAAAATTGAAGAATCATCGACAATTTGAACTCTTGCCACATTTGTCTCCCCGATTATGTTTTTCTGGTCGCTTGCAAGCTGTAAATTAACAGAAAATACAATAATAAATATCGATCATTTTAATCAGTTATATACACATGAAGTTGTGCTGTCTGTAATTCAGAAAATTGAAAACTGCAAGATTCCTAATACTTCAAAGGAAACAATGGAAATTTTAAAATCATGAATATCAGGATCACTTACTTAGCAACAAATAATTCAAGATCACACACAAAGACCATGTTGGACAAGTTGCTTAGAAGAATAATTATATTGCTGGAATTAATACTATCCTACCGTATAAAATTTCCTACCAGTTTCAAACAAACATAGAATACATCACCAGATCGCCATGTTGCACCTTCCACCAAATTTATGTAGATTTCCTTAACCTTTTCGCCAGAACTAAATTCCATCTAAACAATACTGCTTTCTGTAAATTGGAATTTTAAAATGAGCAAGACATCTTTTTAACAGAATTCCTTGAGTTCGTTACAAGTTCATTTTTAATTGAAGACAAAGGGTTAATTAAAGATCGAGCTTGCATCTCAATAATCTACACAACATCTTTAACTTTTAGACAAAACTTTATTAAAAATAACAGTTTCTGATTTCGCTAGAAAATGAAGACCCTTCTTGGCCACACCGTCTTTCGTCGAATAATGAAATGCAACTTTTTCATCGGTTGGTTCATGTCGAATAACCTGCAAATAATGCAAAATTTTTATGATCTTATATAAACATAAAATTTTAGTAAGAGAAATATCAATCACTTATTTTGTCATGGATATCGCATTATTTTATCAAAATTTCCAAGCGCGTCACGCTCTTCAGGTTGCATGCCGTAATTGTACTTTAACCGGTTATATTTAAACTCTTTGAGAGAAATATAGATGCGAAATCACTATGTTTGATCAGGATACACCAATGGCAACTGCTATACTTGTTAAAATTAATTACACTGTAAAATTGAAAACTTACTCTTAGCATAACTTTACTGCTTCCTCTAGTGATCGAATATACGCGAGCCGAAAATTCTATGACCCCTCCATCTGTAACTTAGAGATAAATTACTTGATAGCAATATAACAAAAATATTTTTTGGGATTTTGGAAACAATTCAGAATTCACTTTTTGATGTTCTTTTTGCACCATCAACCTCTTCCAGCATTCCCTTAGAATCCGATTTCCAACCCATTTTGCGAGTGGCAGCAGTTAACTTTTGTATCAATTGTATGCGATACCACAAACAGTGACGGTCCTGAAATTGGCCATATTTTATGTCAAAGTTTCCTAAAATAACATTGATAAGTTAAATAAGCCATAATCATGCGTCTTTATTGCATAATATTAGATCGTTGAAGTGAAAATTGCTGTCGAATATAATCAATACAACGTTTTTGCTATATGTGAATTCTTCAACGGTTGATTAGAAGTTTAAACTGATTCATATAATAAAATGAAATATTTATCTATTCGTATCCTCATATTTTGCTATTTCATTTAGTCCAGAGTGCACAAATATAAATCGAATAATTAAATTCAACAGGCCAGAAGCATGCAGATATTTTATATATTTTCAATATTTTATATATTTTCAGTGGATGCAACAAAAATGCATAAAATATTAAAATACCTGTATGTTCCTTAATTTGGAAGCCAATAACTTAGGTTGTTCATCTGGTGAAAGGTTCGGATAAGCTCGTGAAATCCGCCGTAGTATATTACGTAATGCTTCGTGATCGCTTACTTTATTCGTTGCTTCGATCTGGAAATGATGTAAAAGGTTTAAAAGAAACAATCGCTTTAACTAATAATCACGAAACGATGATGGGAAATAAATCTAAAAACGAAAAAAATAACTATTTAAGCAAATTATTTAGGGTTATGGCCTCTTATAATGGCTTAAAAATTTACCAATGATTTTAAAAGCTTTTAAAAAACTTCAGAGATTAGTTGACGATGGTACCATATTATTTCCGAACTTCATTTCGCTAGCAAACTTCCTTAGATAAGTATCAATATCGTCGTCTTTATGTTCTCCATCATCAGCATCATCAATTTGATACACCTCGTTCAGGTAAGTTTTGTTACGTTTCCAAATTTTGATGTCCACCAAGTATGCAACAATTATTAAGACGAAGAGGAGACCAAAAGTGACCAATGCTTCCCATAGCTCTACTACGTTTGGTGATATTATCACTACTATCTGAAAGAAAATCTGTGAAACTCTTTCAAAATTACTTCACTTCGATTTGAAAGTATCAGGGACCATACGACCGGTGAAACATAAAATATTCTTGATATATACATTGAGAAGACACTTCGTCATCTTCATTAGCCATTCCGAAACGATTGATATTGTAATCAAAAATGGATCCTTTACAAAGCAACCTTATTGGTATGCCACTATATTATCATTATAAAAAGTTTTTGATTAATGGTACATTTCATCGGGTGACGATATTCTGCCACAAAAATAATAAAATAATTTCTAAAGTAAGTAAGACCGTACAATAAAAAGCCAAATGTATGCGAAGCAGCTAAATAATGACGTCGTAGCAAAAACGAATGTCTCCTGAATTCGTTTAACTGTCGGTGATTGCACAGCCAAGATACATACAGCTGTGATACATAACAAATTAAATGCTGCAGAACCTGTAAAGTACTAAAGTACAAGGCACAATTGTCACAATAAATGTATCTTTGCAAGAATGAAAGAAAATAAAAATCTGAAACTGAAAGAAATTTTCTTAAATCTATTGAAATAAAAAACAAATAATTTCTTTGAATCATCTTAAGATCTCATACAAATGTTCCAAAATTATCAAATAATTTTTGTTTTGATGAATTTAGGGTGAACGATAGTGTTTTTGGGAACGAACCAACAATAGTGCCGGGTCCGAGATCACCAATTCGAAAATGATTAGCTGTAATTTCAATTACTGAAAGCAAAATTTCCGGCGCGCTGCTACCTAATGCCTAAACAATGTAATTTCTGTAATTTGATTGAATGAAATATTAAACAAAAGATGAAAAAAAGTAACCAATACCACATTACAAAGGCCCGATCTATAATAAATATAAAATTAAGGACATACCATTAAACTTAAATTAGCTACAGTTGGATTCCAAACACGCATTTCTACATCTTCTTCTGAATCAGTAGTTTCACACTCTACGTTTCTTATCGGATGTTTTAATTCAACTTTTCTGAAATATGTCAATAAATCGCTTACTTATTAAAACAATTCCTGAAGAGTGCACCATTGTAACTTACTAATCAATTTCAAAGTCTTCCAAAGTAGTCTAAAACTTTTAGTAATTATGGCATATTAGTACCCTAGGATAAAGCAACAATTCAACCTGGTTGATGATGTAATTTTTTCGATAGAACACATGAAGACATTTGCAATGATCGCAGTGCCCAAGAAGCAATACAACAAGGATAGAAAGTACAAGATAACATTTGATAAGGAGGTTAACGCGGCTGATACTATGATACCATCTTTGCATACTTCTTTTGTCAAATTTGTCACTTGTTCAAATTGACCAATCATAATTAGTCATCGGTTTTTCGGTGCGCTTTCTAAAAAAAAAAATTGTCCTTTTATTGATTAGAATTTCGTATTTTATTTTCTGTTTGTTAACTGAATATTTCGGATATATAGTGTGACACATGATATAAAGCTGGACGAAGAATGTATGGTTGATACTGAGAATAATCATGAAAATTTATGAAATCCCTAAAAGCTTATGAATGCAAAGTAGCACCAGCACAATTCTATGACAATTAAAAAGTTATTAAATTTTTTGTCTTGAGAGAAAGAAGTTGAAAATTAAATCCATATGGAAAGGTCATGCAAGTAAAAATTTTATAACTCTGCAAGATTTGTTTAAATATGTTTTAATAGAACAAGCGCTGAACTCCTCATAACAAATCAATGGCTTTCCAATTTTGATCATTTCTTCTTCATCAAACTTTGACTGACTTTGACTAACTCAAACTTTGATTGACTCTCATTGCCCTTTCAAGCTTCCTCGAAATTTCTGAGATACGGTCTCCATATGCGAGTGTATTTTGTAATAATTTCGTATTAAGAAATAAATTGAAAAATGCAATACAAATATATATAAACTGAATTTTTTTTATCGTACTATAAAACTTTGTGAGATTGTTATCCTTCCATCTAACACATAAATTTCAAGTTCTATTTTTGATAGATGGTAAACATATAGACTACGGTATTCCACAAAAAATATTCATATTAAATAACAAATACAAATCAAAAAAAATTATATAGCATAATTAAAGGCAACAAATCACCTACGACTACCAAAAACATAACTTAAAAAATTATGATAGTACATACGTACTATCATAATATTTTTTTTCTTTATAACAGAAGGAATGAAGTTCGAGTACTTGAATTTACCAGAATATATGGGAGTTCATTCAAAATTCAAGACATATAATAAATAAAAGCACTAGAGAGTCGAATTAAGGTTGAAGCTTCTGATAATATAGATCAAAAGAGAAGGTGTCTATATGAGTAAATGGCATATTTAGTATGTGACAATGCAATAATAACAACTTTTTAGTATCGCTTTCTTTTAAATTAAAAAGAACTATTTAAACGATTTCTTCTGAAATTTATCCATTTTATATTCTTTCATTACCAAAATCCAAAATCGAAAACGCAAAAAGAAATGAAAAAGAGAACAGAATAGATTGAAGTATTCAGTAGAGATGCATTACAAAGGAATGACCTTCAATAAAATAATTAATCAAGTTCATTATCTTATTATTTATATTGGGAGGAAAGTTTACGAATTATAAACAATATAATCAAGATCAACTATTTTTTCATATTCAATTAGTTCATTTGGAAAAAATTTACCAAAATATTATAGTGTAAAATACTTTAAAATTATATCATTCTCTTTGCATCCTCTATGCCAGCTTTTCTGTACATCAATTTTCTTCTTGATGAAGTTCTTAATTTAAAGATTAAATTAAACGCTTACCAAGTAAGGTTTAATTAATGAAATATGTTGCAAAAAAGGAATCTGTAAAGGGGTTCCTTCACAGTGAATACAATCATTTAATCAGGACTTTACAGCAAATATCATTCATTCTCTATAGATGGCAAAATACAAGTTTTCAGTATAGCAAAATAAATGATCGTTTAAATTTAGAAGTTGACATGATTGCTCGTTATTAAGACCAGATGACGCAGCACAAATATAGTTAATTTTACAATCTTGTTATTCATTTTGGAACCCACAAATATATAGTATGCTTTTTGTTTCTCTAATTATTTTTATTATTGTCTTATGTGTAATAATTTCATTAACTCGAGGCTTCATCGGTTAATGTTTTTATTCTCATCTATTTTTTAACAGTTAACCATTATCACTCCAAATCTACGCGGGACATACTTTCTACAATTTCTATGTTTTATTCATATATACGATAATAAATAACTGGCTCACACCTGTAAGATTGGGTTAATCGACAAAATTACTGGGATCTGCACTGAAACACTCGAAGAACGCATGAGAACACATGAGATATTGTGCGCTGCACTGATAGAGAAGAACGCATGAGAAAGTTTTTCTCATGAAGAGTTTTTCTCATGAGAAAGTTTTTCTCATGCGTTCTTCTCTGTCGGAACAGCGCACAACATACACAATTAATACATTGTTGAAAAGATCAAAAATTCAGACCAAAAAAGGTAAAAGAAAATGTGGAAGATAGGATCGATGCTGCATTTCGCCTCCGATATTCCATCTGCAACAAATCAACCAGGAGAGTGAGGACCCGATCGGGTGGGTATGCGTACAGACATTAAGGGTACACAGCATGTCCTTCCTCATTCACAGTAAACAATAACTGGTAAGAGAGGATATGTATCACAAACAACAACTCATTTACCTTAAAGGACACAACAATTTCTTCCTCTCTTCATTCATGTTTATTATTCTAACAAAACTATGTTTATTATAATTGAAATGCTTCTAAATATGTTTTGGAATGTTATTGCAGTTTGCAAATTTATCATCGATCTAAAAAGATAGCTATGAGCAAATAAGCGTTGAAATATTTATTTATGAAGTTTGAAAAAAAAATTACAGAGAATAAGATAGAAGAAAGTTGAAGATAAAAAAAAGAGATCTATTTTGTTGCTATTAAATGATAGTTATTCTTTTCAGAAATCATTCAACTCACAACCTGCTATTCTATCTTTTAGATATTTAAATCAGTAGGGTGAAGTGAAGTAATATTTCCAAAATCATAACAACCTTAAAGTTTTCCAAAATTCTAGAATTAAATAGAAGTTTTAAAGTTTAATAGGGGAAATAATACATACCTCCATTGCTTCTGTTCTCAGCCAATCATACCACAACTTCATTGGTTCGCTCATCCCTTCCGTCAACGACTTTATTCATCAATTGATGATGTTTGGCAGAAGGAAGAAATAAAACAGATAAAACGCCGAAAAGTGAGTTCTCCGGAATTCGATACATCCCACACAAAATGCTAATGCTTTGATTTGATGGAAAATTCGATTATCGAACAAAAATTTTTGATAATTTGCTCCAACAGTCTTATTTTACCAGCACAATTCAATCAAACGGTAAATTTTCATTAGTTGGGCTTAATTTGATGATTTTGCTCTGTTTTCAGAATTATTATAAAAATATTTTATTTTTAAATCAAATTAAATTTCGAAAAGTGATATTTCAACAAGTATGACAATTATGTTATGTTGTAATAAATTAGGCAAAAAAAGAACGATTATGAGAAGTTAAAATGACAAGGAAAAGTAATAAATTAAAAACAGTACAGGATTAAATTAAAAAGAAAAGGAAGAAAGAATTAAAAAGATCTGTACACATCTGAGATCAATGCAGCATGACTTCACTGTTAAAACACATATCAGTAATAAATAAACGCCTAAAATTCATAAAACACAAATCGATGGTACTAAATTTAATGCCAAACATCACAAAAGCTTCAAAAATTTCCTGTAATAGATCAGGAGCAATTTTACTTAAGGTCAGATATCTCTGTAAGACTTGTGCGATCTTGTAACGGCCCGTAATAGGTAATTTAAGATCGAGCGACAAATAAAAGCAATGTTTGGATTTGAAAATAAACTGGTTTTCATTCATGGAAACTTGTATGCGATCACCTCTAAGCTGGTATTTGTTGTACTGCAGTAATTATTACTATCGTAATTGATGGCGAATTACCTGTGAAACTATAAAAAAACTTAGTGCCTTTCATTTACGAAATGATCTTAAAAATCTCGAAGAAAAAATGTCAAAAATTCTAACTTATACTTCAATTGTTATCCAAAATAACGAAGAGCTAAAGCATTTTTACATCTATTACAGTGACCTAAAATTCAAGTAACTGAAATTACAGCGAAATTACCAAATAACTAATAGTAGTCCCGATTTACCCGCAAATATTAATACCATATTCGAATTGATTTTAACATTGCTACAATAAATATAAGAAATGTTATCAATACAACAAATGGACGAAATTACACCACAACCACTAAAACAACAAATGAAACACACACACACATAACATACACACATACACACACATACATAGATAAATGGATGAAATGGCGTCAGAGTTCATTTTGAGTATAAAAGTTTGAAAGCTTGCATGATATCCATCTTCTGTCATTTACATTGTAAGCCCTTTGATCCATGAAAACCCTTATAGAATACTGGAATGTTTTCCATAAAAAATTTCATTATAGCTCTCACATATGTTCCTTTTCTAAGTTTTCCTAAACAATAAGAGTTAAATGAGCTTACAGTAAAATAAATTTGAAAATTTCATAAGAGATTTGAATTGGCGATATTGTAACAGAAAGAATAGCTTGAAAGGACCATGTTCAGCACTTCTACTATTCCAATTACAACTCAAATAAACTTTCGCCAAACAAAATAATTATAATTTATATCAAAAACAATACTGGAAAAATAGAAGCACACCGGAAAATAATAGCTTGAATAGCATATGACACTGAATTCACTATCATTCAAATGAGAAACAAAAAAAAAAAGAATGAATCAATTTATCAAATTTCCGTAATGAGACAAAGAAATTTCCGGAAGAATTACTTATAAATATGAATTTTAATAACTACTTTAGAGATTTGAATAAATAAAAAGAAGCCTATGAATATAAGAGTAAAGTACAGCTAGCGCTTTTGGTTAATTCAATGAAATGCTGCTCAATTATTAAACAAATGATGGCATACCGAAATTATAGCAGGAAGCTGAAAACAGAACTGATCAATGGAGTAATTAATTAAGAAGTACATCTCGAGATTGCAAACAATAAGTACATATCGGGATTGCAAACAACAAGTTCATCATCAAAAAGTTCAAGTGAAAAAAAAAGGATTGGCCGAAAGTTGACTTCATATGTAACAAAATTTAACATATGAATGAAATAATGTGAGCAAGCTGGGAGAAAATATTTAACAGAAGGTTATATAGAGAAAAATAAGAGAAAAGGAAGAAGGAAGACGGTTACTGACAAAAGTTTTGAGTATTCTTTAAAATTTCTCTCCCTCTCCCCCAAATACTGGTTATTAACGATATACAAATTTAACAAAGCCGAATGATATCATCATTTCACAGAGATCTTCATTTCAATACAAATAAAATTAATTTCAACATCCTTACAAATTTGATATAAAATCTTATTTTTATGTTCAATTTGATCAAGTTATTAATTATTAATAGTATCAAGAAGTCGTTCTGAGTTTTCCAACGCTAAATTATTGAAAAAAACATTTGACAAAAACAAATAGCTGAGATTACAAGAAAACGAAAAATGTCTAATTTAATAATTCGTTTAAGGGCAGTACTTGGGACAATTTGATATCAAAAAGAATTGAGTACAAATAAATATTCGTTCTATTTTCAAAATACATACTTTTTAGCTTTATCAAATTGTCCCATTTATCAGAAACGATGATACCAAGTGGGAAAGCATGAGATCCTGTACACCATTGGAATGTATGGCGAAGCAAATCAATAGGGAATAGAATTAAACTTGAGCTTTCATTCGTTGAACCTGAAACAGATTTAAATTTTATCATTTTACATTATTGAAAAGGTTCTTCATATTCATAGGATTATAAACAAATATAATCTAAAAAAAGATGAAATGGCTGGTGGAGCGGTTAATATGATTTTTCCTTTTTAAAGTTGTAGGATTAATATAATGAATGATCCAGGACCTGACCAAGAAAACACACAACACTTCAACTTTTAAATTTGGCAGAATATGCAGAAGCATGATTCTGAATTGAAAACTTGAACTTTAATCGAAAGTATTATTAGCATGCAATAATATCAAACAAAATATAAACTAGCCGTGCAAAGATGTAACACCTTTTCTAATGATCAAAAATTGAGTGTGAGCGATGAGTGCGAGAGAGAGAAAGAATTATACGGAAGTTCGACATTTTTTGTACTCCAGATCCGGAATTCAGGATTGCATTTTGCCGTTGACAACATTTTGCCTTCGTCAGAAAAAATTTTTTTAGCTGTCACAACATTACTTACCACCGTACACATCCAACAGCAGATTTCAGGACAGAAACGAGAGGAGGGAACGAATTGGAATGAAGTTCATAACAAAGTCTCTTTTTAATGTTTTAGCAACAAAGCTTGTGATTACGCCTCTTCAATCAATAACTCCTATTTATAATCATTAGTTGTTAAAGGTTTATTTTTGATGCAAATTCATCAGGAAAATTTAGCTCGGTAATAAAAAAATGGAAACAGAATATCTGGTCAAACTTGAATTAAACCCAACAATCGATGGAGACATTTTTAGCATTTCGCCCTCCACTCATTTCTCTCATTCTGCAAAACAATCACCATTATATCGAAAACATCACAATAATATCAAAAAAAGATATAAAAACGATTGAATGAAATAGACGATGAAGCTTGTTGTTGTAAAGAAAATTACTAACAAAATGATCAATTTTACAGGACAACTTTCATCAACAATAGGGAGCTGCCTCAAATAATTCCATGTTCCATTTTGATGATAATTTGTTAATGGAGACACATCCAAAATAATAATAAAAATATGGGACAAATTTCACAACATATAACTGAAATCATATTAAGTAACATGCACATCAATGTACTATACATACACCACAATCCTATTAGTACCAATTATTTCGCTCATAAGCAAAAGATCAATAGTAGCAGCAAAGCTTGTGATTACGCCTCTTCAATCAATTATTCCTACTTATAATCACTAATTGTCAAAGGTTTATGCTTGATGGAAATGTATCTGGAAAATTTAATTAGGATAGTTATACCCAAAATTAATTTGCAAAAATTTTATTTTGAAATGTGGGGAGACTATCGATCGGGAACGCGTATCACTGACAATGCTTTCCTCGGGAATATATCAATTTGATAACAAAAGCAGCGCAAATTAAAAAAAAAATAAAACTGAACGAAAAATATTACTTTCAATAGTCCAGAAAAAACAAGACGATATCCAAGCAGAATACAAACAAATAAACGATTAATCAGGAAATATGTGACGAATTTTGGTGACATACTAAAGAAAACAAAACATAACGAGACACGACGAAAGTCTGTTCTCTTCACTTGACAACACAGACTCCTTTCAAAATTTGTAATCTTTCTCTTTTTTTGAACTATTCATTTCAGTACGGTTTATCTCTAGGACGTTTCAATTGCACTTTTAGTCGTTTCATGCCAATTTGGAAGCCATTCATTGCCTGAATTGCTGCCATTGCTGAAGCGGTATTGTCGTAAGAGACGAAACCTGAATTGGTGAGACGGTTGTGATTACAGTGCCAAAAGTCATTATATTAACTGTTAAGTCATTATATTAATGACTTAACAGTTCATTATATTAACATTATATTAACTGCTATTTCAATAATGCTATATTGTGACGTTATATCGATATGAAATCTTAAGCTTTCCGATCTTTCATGTTACTAATCTAAGCAATGATGTTCCTATTCGCCCTTATTTAGTAAGTTACGATGCAGCTATGCATCTTATGGATCTATGAATTTTATCGGAATGTGAATATTTAAACAAAAAACTTACCAAAGCATTTACTCTGATTGGTTGCTCGGTCAATGAAGACTTTAGCGCTTATCACATGCCCGAAAGGCATAAACATTTGCATCAGTTCAGCGTCACCGAATTCCTGCGGTAAATGGTAGATGAATAAATTGCACCCTTCCGGACCCAAAACTGAAATTTGCCACTGTTGGTTTCTTCTTAGTGTTTCTTTATCTGAACATTTCAATTTTAAATCAATCTGATAATTCGATAACATAGAATTGCATTGGATATAGATGAGATTAAGACTAAGTAAAGAGTGAGAATATTTTATTAGTAAAACTTTAAAAACGCATACTAAGGGAATAACAGTCGTTTTATCTGATTGAGAGCAGTTCGGAAACGAACCAGAAACACCGCATATATAAATACTATAAATACTAAGGGAAAGGAATAGGGATCATTTCTGAAGATGGTTTTACCACTTATACATCCCTATGTCTTTCTCAGTATTTTCAATAAATAAATTTGGTGTTGTTGCCGGGAAGAAAATCGTAAATCGATTTAGTCCGGCCAGATGCTAAAGAAGCTAATTGAGCGAGTAAAGCATTACGACAAAATCAAATTCCTTTTCGAACTAAAACTGAGACTTTGCATGCCGTCCAATGAAATTTTACGTGTCATTTTTTTGCGATTTTTTCTCAGTAAAGACGAAAGTATCGTTGTAAAACCGATATAATGTTTGGTCAAATTCGGTTTTTCTTTGATTATTTCTGTAACTTTTTATGAAGGGACAAATGAAGAAAATCAGAATTTAATCCAAATGATCAAATATTTGTACAGTACAAGTGTTTAAAAATTCAAGCTTGGGTACCTATCATTTTCTGGATGTGGTAACCGTTTTCTCTAATCTGAATGTCCAAAAAATAAAATTATGGTTTCTATACTCTGCTTACCACGAACATTTCTATTCCATCATGCTTTTGTTTTTTATGTCTTAATTGACAGCCTATTTTAATATTTTATTTTGATGATAAAATATATATTTATCATTAATTACAATCAAATCCGCACCTTCTTTTTGCACACCTGGAAAAAGAATGGCCGCTTGCTGAAGAGCAATCGCTTGTTGCAAGGCTTGATTGTATGGATCTATAAAAAACACTATTTTAAGGTCATTTTTTATATTGTAAGAGTATGACAAAAAACTCTACGTCAATTTCTCATTCGGCATTCTTTTAATTCATGGATCAATAAATGTGTTCTTACTTGCTTGCTGTTCAAGATTCACCAGAGGATTGTAAGCTGAAGAGAGCGTAACCGCAGGAATCGTTACGGTAGGTAACGTTCCATTAGCTGGCAGTGTGTATGCCGTCGAGTCAATAGCTACTGCTGCTGCACTACTTGAAGCTGCAAACATTGCAATTAGTAGCCAAAATTGGAAGAAGTGTCATACATTACTGATCCTCCTAAATTGTTGATGGCTTATTTGAATCAACTTATTTTATTTCATATAGTACAAGTCGAAAATATTATATATAAACAAACTTACGTGCATATTGTGTAACGCTTGCAGCTGCAGCATAATCAACAGGTGCATAAGGTTGTGATAATGCGGAAATTGTTTGAACAGAGTTAGCTTGTTGTAACGGAAGTGCTGAAAGTGGCTGCAAGGGATGCTGTGTCAAGAATGTTGCCGGATTTGTTGTTCCTGCCAATCCTGCTGTTGTTAGCTGAAATTACACTTGAAATCTAAAAGAAATTATAGGCGGTGAGGAAATTAAACAAGACGGAGAAGAAGAGAGAAAAGAATTGAAAGAGAAAACATAAAATTTATATTTTACCACTTCCCGTCTTTCCTTTCTCGTCTTATCCCAATCCTTCCATTCCCTTGCGGTTAATTAAAAAGGCTGTGATGAGAAGAGATGAGTGACTATGCAAGATGGCACTTCTCGGACAGCCAAATGCTATATTTTGTCACTCACTCATAATGATTATAATTGGACCTACCATTAGTAGTACTATCATTCTCCTTACTTGATAGCTTTTCCTCTTCTTTATCTTTTTCTCTCTCTCCCTCTCTTTTTCTTCCTTCTATCTTCACTAATTATTTGTGCTCTTCCTTTTCCTCCCCGCTATCTCTCTCGAATTATGTAAATTATCTATCGTACATAATAAGAGGACAGATGATATCAGCGAGAGCAGATGTTACGGTCATTTAAATGTAACATTGAATCCCTTAATTTAGGACATAGGACTAAAATATCAGACGTTGACAAATCTTTACATATATCTCATACAGCTATGAATTGAATATTAGAGAGTATTGAATTTTGCAACGACGATGAAATACGGGAGAGGATTGAGGAATAATCGCTTACACACAACTGCATGCATAATCATGTTTAGAATAACTTACCGCTGTTTGCGGTGCCATAGCGACCGGGAAATAAGTAGCTGCCGCTGTTTGCGCTGCCACAAGGGTTGCTTGCTGTTGAAGCAGCTGGAAATTCTAAGAATGAAAATATTTTTCAAGCATATCTTTTTCCAAACTCAAATATCTGTAATTCTTTTTTGTAAAGATAATGTAGTTCGCGGATTTCCTATAGCGATACTGTTAATATCACACTCTTATGTGAATATTCTTGGCTACATTTTGTTTGTTTGATACCACTGAACAATTACGTAACCAAAGCCATATAAAATATCAAGCAGTTCAAATTTGTTTAATTTTTCTAGGCCTGACATTCTGGCCACACTACGAACCTGCTGATATGCCGTATTGTAAACGCCGGCTTGATTAATAAGCACCGGATTTAATAAACCCATTTGCGCAGCCATTTGCTGCATTCGACGTAATTGTCGCTCCTTTTCTGTATCAGCGAATTTTACGACCAACGATGAAGAGGCACCTGGCATCGTTTGGCTACCATGAAGGGCATTAATTGCCATTGCAGCTTGTGAATGTGTTGCAAATTTGACGAATGCGCATCCTTTTGATAGACCATCGGCACCACGAAGTACAGTCACCTGAAATTTCACAAAGTATTTGCTTAAGCTTTAGCAACCTGAAACGCATTCTTATTGAGGAGATTTCCGCTTTCTGATTGAGGAAATTCCTGACTTCTTGTCGAAGATCAACAGAAAAAACAAATGATTTAGAGGGAAAGAGAAGTACCAGTCTAAGGAAGAAAGAAAATAGCAATTTTGTATCACTGAGGTGATAAATTCGTAAAAATACATAATTTTAACAAACCAGTTCATATTATGAGAAAAGGAAAAACATCAAGCAAAAAAGTTGAAATAAAAATTGTGTCGAAATAACTACTGCCACCGTATAATCTTCTTCAAAGATTTGGAAGAGCAAAAGTGAAAGGTACTGTGAATCTGAATCAGTAAACAAAAAAGAGTAAGAGAGATGAGAAAGAATAAAATTTAAATTAAATTATCGATTTTAGCGGGAATGATGAAATTTGGAAGGAAGGAACAACAATAATTGAAGACCAAAAGGAGAAAAATAGTTTATTTTTTTCGCAAAACTTATAAGAAAAGAAGAAAATTTGAAAGCGTAGAAGAGAATCTAAAGAATTTGGAAAGAACTGAAAAGCTTTAATCAACTTCTTTTTCTTTATCTCTCTTCAGTGAATCGAAGATGATTGCCATAGCAGTTATTGGCAGTGTCGCATATCTTACGCTAAATGTATTATTCACTGCGATATAGCCTATTTTGCAGGGAAGTATTCCTGATATTGGTATTGAAAATGCAATTCTTATCACGGGCCTTTCTATTCAACTAAGCAATACTGACCATTTACTTTGAAGCTTTTATTGACAGCTTTAATCATTTCCAAAAAATCTTGCGATTTGTTTTGCTTGAATTCACTAACAGTACTCGAACCATCTCGAACTCTAAGAAAATGGCTTCAAAATATCTCCAGTAATCAAAGAAAATATACCGCGTAATATCTTTAAGGAATGAATCATTGAGCTATTTGAATAGATTTTAACTTTTAACTTGAACCTTTATTTTTTTCTCCGTCATTTTAAACCGATAATTTCATTTTCAACTCACATTTTGAAAAAAAAATGTGAAATTTAATAATATTACCTCATCAATGACACCGAATGGAGCAAATAAGGAGCGAACATCATCTTCATTGTGTTGTTTAGAAAGCATACCAACAAAAAGTTTTCTCTCTTCAGCATTTTTTGGTGAATCAGGACGGCTCTCATTATCCGCCGGTTTTACTTGCATTGCTCGATTCATCTGAAATTGAATGATGGAGCGATTCTTCAAAACATTTTTCATACTACAGTCATAAAGTTACGCAAACTCTTCTTTCTGATATATATTATACAGAGTGGAAAAGTAGTGACATATGCATAAATTTTCATTCTAAATCTAGTTTATTGAGGAAAGTTTTTCATTCCGTGTATTGATTGCAATTTCAGAAGAACAATTGCAGAAATCCCTCTTCTTCTACGAAGCAGAAAAAATGTTTTTCGAAACATCTTCAGAAAATCTGTTTTATTTCGATCAATTTCAATTCCAGTCAAACTCAAATATTTAAAATTTCTTATCATAAAAATCTGGGAGGTTGAAGAAAATTTTTGTTGAAGAAACCAGAATAAAAACGCTAGTGAAAAAAGGAAAAATCGAAGCTATGCAAACTGTCTTCCCTAATCCCTCAGAAAAAAATCTTCAGAAAGTTGTAATTTGGAGATTTTAGAAAGCTGTAATGTGCAGAATGTCTTTAAGTCTTTGTAAGCTTTTCGAAAATTTCTTCACGAAGTCGATGATAAAGTCGATGCAAAGGTTAAATAGAAAAATGATTACTTGCCTGAAGAACAATCATCGTTCAAAAGATTGGCCACAGTAATAAAGACTATTTGTCTTGTTCCATTGCTTAATCTATTGTAGAATTTGTGCAAGTATATAAGACACCGATTAGCTTCTCGATAATAACACACGGGTGTGCAACAATGAATGGAAAGCAATCGGAACTTTAGGTTAGGCAAAAGACCGCTCCGTCAAGCGGTTGTCCGATACTATTGGCATTTGGCTAATTTCCGAATTGAAGATAAAGAAAGAGAAAGAAGGAGGCGGAAGCTGAAATGAATTTCCAGAAAATGCGCGGAAGGCGAGAAAGAGAAAGATGAGAAAGGTTTAGCTCGAGAGAATCGGAGAAAAACGGTTCCACCCTTAATCCGACGAGAAGAACGAACTTTGAAACCTTTTCAATGATTGGTTTAAGCTACATCCTTATTTCCTCTGCTTTTCTGCCTATGTCAAATTTCGAGTGGCAGGGAAATTTTCGATAAGGTTCATACAAAGAAATTTCAATTTCCCAAATGTGCACTTCCCTTTTTTCATGAAGTAAAGTGAAAATTTTACTTTTCGAAAGATAAGCGTAAAATTTACAAGATTTCAGTTTTCTTAATTAATAAGTAACGAAAACTCAAGAAAATTATTCTTAGACTGATTGTGTCTTTGTATATATATATATATATTCCAAATAGAGATGACATGGAGCGATCCATAAATTATCACTGATGAGTGATCAAATATCGATATCCTAAAATCGCCAGAATTTGGCTCAATTGTCCCATATTTTATTGCGCTAAATGAGATGGATCTCAGCTCATATTTGTATTTATAACATACATTCCAAAAAATCCAAACTTCATTTCATGCATATTTGGATTTATCGCATGACAATTTACAAGGTGCTCTATTTTCTTATCCATCTGAACTATTATCATCAGTCAAAATTGTCAACTCCTACAATTTTCTTATTAGTAACAGAAATAGCAACGGAAAAGTGATATCATTGATTAGAGGAAGTTTCTAAACTGAAAATAGGTGATGTATCAAATAAAGCGTTTTATTTTTTATAGAAAAAGAAAATGCACCAGAAGTAATAGTCATTATTTAGTAGTGTAAATGATTCATATCAGTCTTTGAAATGTGTTTTGACAACTTCCTGAATTATTAACTCCATATTTTTCAAAAAGTTTATGAACTTAAAGAATTTTGAATTGTTAAATAGGGGAATACGTTATTTATGCTTACGTCCTAACATTTTTCAAGTCGGTAAAATTCCTGAATAAATCGATAAATAGCATTGTTTTGCTTAAGAGAATGATGATTTCTATCTTTGATCCACAAAGCACAAATCTACTACCTACATGGTACGGACAATATTTTCAGTGAACTAATTTTGAAAACGATCAATTTATTAAACTAAATTCAAAAGGTAGCTATTTAGTAATCATAAGATTGATTCTTTTGAAATTGAAAACACCAATAGATTTAAAAACATAATTTGGAAAATGATCGAGCATAACAAATATTTTGTTCCATTGCAAATTTCTTGTACTACTGTACTAATACGTTTTAAATTAAAAACAATTATTTTGCCTTCTTTTTGAATTCACAATTGTTAGAACTTTATGCAAAAACGAAAACTAACTCCTGGAAGTGTCTTCTGATCGTGTAGAGCAGCCTGACATCTGATAGCACTATCGCGATGGCAATACGTTAGGAATGCACAACCTTTGTGTAAACCCGTGTATTTGTCTTTCAAAATTGTAAACTCATAGATTTTACCGAAAGTTTCAAACAAATGCCGTAAGTCTTTTTCTTCCAAATTACGTGGAATCTGAAAACTTTTTAAACATTTTATAGAGATCTATAAAAGGCAGTTTTGATTGTGTCGAAAAAATTTCTAAGATATTGTATTCCAATCTCAATCTATTGCTCTGACCTTCAAATATCATTTCTCTAAGTAAAGAAATAAAAGAATCCCTTCGAAAATTAGAACAAATTTCATTCTTTAGAAAATTATCGTGCTAACTTTTTCATTTATTCTCTTCCTAGTTGTTGTCGAAAACTGTGATAAAAAATTAGGACAATTCGTCTAATTAATGGTATGATGCATATCTGTACCTTAGAATTTAAATTGAAAAACAAAAACATAAAAACACGAAATATTTGTTTTCCATTATTTAAAACTGCAATAGTATAAAATTTCGATTGTTTCAAACTTCTATGAGTCAAAATAAATTCATTATGATACTAATGGATTGCTTAGTACTTAAAAATTTAATTTTGATCCTTGTAAGGCTAAATCTCAGTAATGTTCAGTAGAAAAGAGAGAAAGAAGGCTTTCATTAGGAACTCTAAACATTCCAATTAATTAAACTCAGTATATTAATATATACTGTCAAAAGTTTCAAAAAATTGATGGAAAAAGTCATCGATTCACTATTATGAAGAAGAAGTACATGCAGTGGAATGGAAGCTGATTGGCTGATGCAAAATGATTGCCAGAAGTCCTTTTCTCTTTTCTACAGTAGTCTTATAAATTTGTAAACAGATTTTTGTCAGATTTTACATTAGATTTTGCATTTCTGAACAAAGCTCAATCTATTATAACACTGAAACCTTTATAAATATTTATTTGTTGTAAAGTAGCAAATTACAGATATTGAAGAAAGAACGGATGGAAGAAAGTTGACTTAATTGAAGGATATACAGAACAAAGAATTTGCTGGCGAATTTTTGAGATCAAAGAAAAATCATGATTGATTTTGAAAGAAGTACAAAGTTAGTTTAAGCAGTTTGACTATTTAAGTGAATAAAAATATCGTATCATAAATGTGCTTTATCTATGGATCTATGGATAAATGTGCTTTATCTATGTAATGAATAGGTGGACATCTGTTTGTTCGTAAAGATTTTCGCAAAATCAATTGTTGATGAGGCTGAGCCTTCGGTTAAAGTTAGTCTTCAACTTGAGAAAAGAAAGTATGAAAGAAAACTTACTTGTCCAACAAAAAGCTTAATCGTATCGGCATCTTTTACCGGGAAACCATTACTATCGGTGGATGATGAACGGCTCACCCTATTATCCCCATTCATTTTACTTCCCGACTGTTGCTGTAGTTGTTGTAGTTTACCTTTATTTTGCTGTTGATGATGTACCATTTAGGCATATATGAAGATAGAATTGCAGGAATAGTATTTTGTAGGTAGCTTATTATAAATTTTAATTGAACTAATGATTTTGAAATAGAAGTATTCAGGAGGAAGAGGAGGAGGAGGAAGGACGATTCTTCTCTTAACTCCAAGTTTTCAGAAAACTATGGAAATTCAAGAAAATTACTGATAGCGATAGACTACCTTCGGATTTGCAAATAATCCTTCTAATCTAACGGAACATCTACAAAACAAATGTTTACGCGTTATCGCTTGGCTCCAAGTAAATAACAGTCTAGCGAATGCAGAAATCACAAATAAGAGTAAGTTTTCTTAATTGACAATAGCAGTAATTAAGGAATAAACATCAAACAATAATAATAATAATAATAAGCACAGTACGCTGAATTTGCTGAATTACGAATAAGCTTCACCGGGAATTAGCTGAATAAGCTATAAGATCCATAGAGCACAATTTTTATGCAAATTTTCACCAAATTTTGAATTTTCTAGTGAAAATATCGACAGAATGCAAGGAAACAATCACCATATCACGAAAAAAAAAACCACACACCACAAGAAAGGGACGAGGAGGAGGCACATACTGACGGCGACAACAATGATGACGACTGCTTGGGAGCCTGAAATAAGCTTACATGAATGGATAGAAGGAGGGGTTGTCAATACTAACTAGCTAGGCGCTTTAAGCTAGTGCCATTTGCATGCTGCAATATAAAGGGAGGTACTAACTGCATCATGCAGACAGCAGCAAAATAGATCAAGGATAGTAGATAGGATAAGAATGGATGGATATTGAATGGAATGGAAGGGTGCCACTCATTTCTACTTCTTGATTTGATGTCTCATTAATCATAAAAGCTTGCTTGTTAAAGAAAAGAGTTCATTGTAGAGGAGAGGAAAAGAGAAAAAGGAAAAGTAGCCATGCTTACATTTACTTTATTGAACTACCACTTGGCTGGAATTCACCATTTCTAACCTATGGAGTGGACAGAGAGACAGATGCATGGATTGCTCACTCTTCTAGACTGAGATGGATGAAAAGGTAGGCTACTTTTATCGACAAAACCGCAACAATCAGGTGGCTGTGGACACAGCAGCGCCAAGACTTCAAGATCCATTAACTACAAACTGCGCTGCATGAAACCATGTCATTTTCGCTCAAGCACAGTAGGTTAAATATCAGTGACAAGCACACACTCAGAGACAGACACACACACACATACATATACATACATACACACACAGCTGCCGCACTCTTTTCCCATCTGAAAATCCTCACCTGTTGGGTAATGTAATATTGAACAAGTTAATAGATTGTTCGAGAATGAACTATGAATTATTATGACATACTTAGACTTGTTGTTGTTGTTGTTGTTGTTGTGTTGCAAATAATGAATAAATTAATAATAAACTGGAAGGTAGCAAAAAGCCAGAAGTGCTATTATACTGAAAGCATTTGCACTGCTTTTCTATGCTAATAGGGATTTTGCTTCTTCGATGATTATACTGCTATATTATTCATTTGTTGACAAAAGTATCAAGTTCAGAAGGCCTAGTTTTTCAAACGATATTGTGGAGCAGATTTTAAATATTCTTTCTTCTATTTGATTCGAAAAAAAAATAAACCGAACCATTTCATTCAATCTTCAATGTATATGCTCTCATCTATTCTGAATCGATAATTGAAGGTAAATAAAGGTTGGTAATAAGTAGTTCATATCGATAATTACATGAAATCTGATATTAATAACACTTTCAGTTTGACAATTTGGAATTTCAGTGCATATTTATTTCAAATCAAGCTTATAAATACTTTTTCCTATTTTGTATAAAATTAAATTTTGGTTTTGGCAAACGGTTGTTTATAGAAGATTTATGATTACTTGTGAAGGATTTATCCAGCACTACTATAAATTCTCCACGAAGTGGAGTGTTTCGAAAAATATAGCGATTAGTTTATGTGTAACATTTATTCCGTTCCTCTGATAGGATATTTGGAAGAATAACATATTATTGTTATTCTCTTCTCTTCTAATCATAGTTTAATCATTCATTTGTAATCATAGGTTGAACTA